GGCGGGGTGGGGGGTGTTGTTGAGACAAGTAGGCGACTCTTTTGAGTGGACTGAAAGTCACATTTGAGGCGCCTCAAAAGTCTTTTGAGCCGACTGAAAGTCACAGGTGTTAAGACGGAGGGTGCTGGTGGTAAAAGCAAAAGTAGGTGTGGGTGAGCAGGCAGAGCGCGCTTGAGACCTGTGGATGGGATGGGACTGGCCCATCCCATTCACATGGGATGGGATGTGGATGGGATGGGACTGGCCGGGGGAAACGGTGCAAACCAGAGCCTTGCATGTGAGAGTGGTTGAGCAGGTAAAGAGCAAAGGGGACTGCTGCACATGCGTGTGGATGGAGGAGCGGAAATGAATGGCGGGGCAGCGGAAGAATTCGCGAAGAGTAGTGCGTGTAGAAGAAATCGCTTTTGAGAATTCTCACAAGCGATTTCAACGTAAAAGTAGTGCGCACGCACGCACATATGTAGAGAGGTTATTTTTGAGAAGTTTAAAAAATAACCTCTCTACACGCGATTTCAACTTAGAAGTAGTGCATCTTGCATCCCACCTGTTGGGCGCACGCACGCCCATACGGAGGAAGTTGCCATGAGTAGTTGCCCACGAAGGAAGGAAGGAAGGAAGGAAGGATGGAAGGAAGGGAGGATGGAAGGAAGGGACGGAGGAGTAACTCACGTCATTGAGGCGCCAGGAGGGGAAGGTGTATGAAGCTCCAAGCAGCGTGTAGAAGTAGTGCGTCCAGAAGCAGTTCCCGACGAAGCTGAAGATTGCAATGCTATAGAGACCCTTAGAGACCCTTAGAAGGAAGAGAAGCAGCGCTAAGAGGGACAACACTGAACTCACATCATTGAGGCGCCAGGAAGGAAACGTGTAGGAAGCACCCAGGAGCGTGTAGAAGTAGTGCGTCCAGAAATAGTTGCCCACGAAGCTGAAGATTGCGATCCACACGTTTGCCTTCACCCAGTGCTGCTCGTGCCATGGGCGCCCTTTATCAGCCTGATGGTATGGGTGGGATGGGTGAGTGCGTGGGTGGGTGGACGGGGATGGGTGGGAGGGAGGGTGGTGGGTGGGTGGGTGGGCGGGTGGGTGGACCAATGGGAGGGCGTTCAGACGTCTCACAACGCAATCCACACATGGGTCGCCTTCACCCAGTGCTATGCGAGTTGACTTATGAGTCAACTCAAAAGTCAACTGGGAGGGCGTTCAGACGTCTCACAACGCAGTCCACACGGTCGCCTTCACCCAGTGCTATGCCATGCGCGCCCCTTGTCGACCTGATGAGGAAGATGGGTTATTATGAGTGAGTGGTTGGGTGGGTGGATGGATGGATGGATGGATGGATGGATGGATGGATGGATGGATGGATGGATGGATGGATGGATGGATGGATGGATGGATGGATGGATGGATGGATGGATGGATGGATGGATGGATGGATGGATGGATGGATGGATGGATGGATGGATGGATGGATGGATGGATGGATGGATGGATGGATGGATGGATGGATGGATGGATGGATGGATGGATGGATGGATGGATGGATGGATGGATGGATGGATGGATGGATGGATGGATGGATGGATGGATGGATGGATGGATGGATGGATAAATGGATGGATGGATGGATGGATGGATGGATGGATGGATGGATGGATGGATGGATGGATGGATGGATGGATGGATGGATGGATGGATGGATGGATGGATAAATGGATGGATGGATAAATGGATGGATGGATGGATGGATGGATGGATGGATGGATGGATGGATGGATGGATGGATGGATGGATGGATGGATGGATGGATGGATGGATGGATGGATGGATGGATGGATGGATGGATGGATGGATGGATAAATGGATGGATGGATGGATGGATGGATGGATGGATGGATGGATGGATGGATGGACGGACGGACGGACAGATGGATGGATGGATGCATGGATGGATGGATGGATGGGTGGGTGGATGGTTCAATGCGAAGAATTATGCCAAACAGATACATCATACTTGCTTAGAATCACATGTGATGATCTCACCGCACACAACATACCCTCCCATGATTCTCACCCACCGCCCGCAGCATGGCGGGTGGAACGAGCACGCAGGGCAGAGCTGCTGGTAACGCTTGTGTATTGTCTCTTCAATGCAGTACTCAACACACTCAGTTTTCTCTAAGGATCACATGTGACGCGGTGCTCTCTCACTCACTCACCGCACACAGCATGAAGGGTGGAACGAGCACGCAGGGCAGAGCTGCTGCAAGGCCCACCCACAGGTACTCCCACTCCGTGAAGCGCTGGGGGAGAGGGGAGGGGAAGAGGGCGGAAGGGAGGGGAAGAGGGCGGAAGGGAGGGGAAGAGGGCGGAAGGGAGGGGGAAGAGGGCGGAAGGGAGGGGGAAGAGGGCGGAAGGGAGGGGGAAGAGGGCGGAAGGGAGGGGGAAGAGGGCGGAAGGGAGGGGGAAGAGGGCGGAAGGGAGGGGGAAGAGGGCGGAAGGGAGGGGGAAGAGGGCGGAAGGGAGGGGGAAGAGGGCGGAAGGGAGGGGGAAGAGGGCGGAAGGGAGGGGGAAGAGTATGTGTTGACACAGTCAAGCAGGGCAGCCGCTGCGAGGCCCACCCACAGGTAGTCCCATGCCGTGAAGCGCTGGAGGGGGAAGGGGAAGAGAGGGAGGGGTGGGGAGGGGAGGGGAAGAGAAGGGAAGTGGGGAAGGCGATTATGTGAGGACACGGTCGAGCAGTGATGCGCAATGAAGCCCACTAGCAGACACTCCCACTCTGCGAAGCGCTGGGGGGAGGTGGAGGGGGAGGGGGAGGGGGAGGGGAGGGGGAGGGGGAGGGGGAGGGGGAGGGGGAGGGGGAGGGGGAGGGGGAGGGGTAGGGGGAGGGGAAGGAGTACAGCGTGGGTAGGCGCTTGTGTTACCAGGCGGCGTTTAAACCGTTGTGTTGGCTGTTACCATGCCACGTGTATACAATGTATTTTTGAGACGTCTCAAAAAGACATTGTATACACGTCGCTTGTGTTACCAGGCGGCATGTAAACCGTTGTGCTGGCTGTTACCAGGCCTCAAAAGGAAGAGGGGGAGTAGGTCGCTCGGGTCTACAATGCCGAGGCGCGGAACGAGGCAATGCCGACGCGCAGAACGAGGCAATGCCGAAGCACGGGACGAGGCAATGCCGAAGCACGGGACGAGGCAATGCCGAAGCACGGGACGAGGCAATGCCGCAGCACGGGACGAGGCAATGCCGAAGCACGGGACGAGGCAATGCCGAAGCACGGGACGAGGCAATGCCGAAGCACAGGACGAGGGAATGCCGAAGCACGGGACGAGGGAATGGCGAGCGATAGCTGCCCCAAGAGCCCATGCGACTCAGACGGCTAGTGCGTTGAGCCGGACGTTCCCTAATGAATCGTTACAGCGAGAAATCTAGGTACCTTATAGAGCTGAAACGGGACGATGATTCCGAGAGCCCATGTGATCCAAACGGGGGAATAGTAAAGAAAGAACTTCTCGGCCCATCGCTTGCTGGGCGTCTCCGCGAACCACATGGCGGCTGCTGATTGGATCCGGAATGAGCGCGTGAATTTGACCTGCGAATGCAACTTAGAGACAACTACGTTTCTGATTACGCAATAAACCGGAGTGTAAGTGCGCTAAGAGCTTCTTGGAAGCTTGAAAAACTGATTGGTGTGATTTCTGGCTGAGGCATCTGTCCGATCTTAGAGAGATTTGCTCCAAACCCTTGTTTGAGGATTCGTTGTTGCACACGTGGCCACCATTTGCTCGAGTGGTTCTCAAATTCAGTGATAATTGCTCGAGTGGCCTCGCCAGTGGATTCTCAACGTCTTTTTTTAAGAATGAACATTACCCTTCAGGAGTATCTATCCTCGAAACTTCTGTATTGATTATTGCGCGATCTTTAATATCCGAAATTTATGTTCATGACCCTATATGACCGCGCCTGATTGGACGCTCATATAATCGACCAATCCTGCGCGGCCAGTAATGGTCACGCGCATCATATTTTAATGCCCGATCATATATTTCCGCAGTTATAAACTGCAATGCCCTTAATGACCGCGCATGATTGGTCAATTATATGCACGGTGCCTTTTTTTGAATTGCGTGTCCAATCAGGCGCGGTCATATAGGGTCACGAACATAGATTTTGGATACTGAAGATCGCGCAGTAACCAGTACAGAAGTCTCGGGGATAGAAACCCGTGTAGGGTAATGTGACGGGTTAAAAAAAGCCAGTGGGAATCCACTGGCAAGGCCACTCGAGAAATTATCCCTGAATTTGAGAGCCACGCGAGCAAATGGTAGCCACGTGGGCAACGCTGAATCTCCAAACAAGGGTTTGGAGCGATTCTCTCCTGACCTTAGGGGATCGACCAGCCCCTCGGGATTGCCTCCCTGGGAGCGGCTCGCCACGTGGGACAGGTCGAGTGGCTCTCGTCGTCCCATGATGCGTTTGACAAATTCGTTGCCGCTCACTACCCTACCCAACCATTCTAAAAACTTAAGTAACCGCTTTGTAACAAGACACACCGCAGTCAAACTAACGTCTGGCAAAGATATTTGGGGTGCTTTCTGGGGTTCACAACCCAAATTGCAGGGGTCGAGTTTTAACGAAGCTTAGAACGAGAATAATGGGTGTTCAATGCTCTGATCGCAAGCATGCTGGAATTGATTGTATCGAGGAGAGGATAACCCCAAGGTGTTCCTGAAATAATTCGCGCTACTGTCAACCCAAAGCCTCCCCACCGAGACCCGACTTAGGGGCAAGAAAAGAGCGCCATAAAATCGCGCCAATCACAGGGGCAAGAAAAGAGCGCCATAAAATCGCGCCAATCTGGTAATCCACTCTCCCGCAGCTGCGAGCGCGTTTCGTCCGAGGTATCCTTTAAGGCTCACTATGCCGAGCCGGGAAATCTCACAGCTGTAAACCTCTCTCGCTGTAGTCACGTTGCAGCTACAATCAATCCCTCGTTTCCATCACAATGGATCGTTTACCTAAAGTGTGGTATGAACAGGCCAGCAGCATCGAAGATTCGTTATTAGTTTCCGCGTCAAAAGATACTCCGTCGAGCAACCCCCTTAAACCTCCGCAATCCCCGGCTAAAACCCCGTCCAAAAAATCCCTCGCCAAGAAGGCTCGCCGAAAATCCGGAGAGGCGGAAAGCGCAGGAAATGGCGCAGATGCATCCGCGGAAATTCCCCCGGTAGCTGGCGGGGAAACTGGCGCTGCCACTGGCGCGGAGGGGGGCTCGGGGGAAGGCGCAGGGGCGGGCGGAGGGGGGCAGGCGGAAGACCCGCGCGGGGGGCTGTCAGAGGCGGAGTGGATGGCGCTGGCAGAGAAGCTACGGGGGGAAGGGGACGCGCTTCTGAAGGAGGCGGCGGAAGCGTATGAGCGGCGCAAGGAGAGCAGCAGCGATGCCAGGTGGCTCGCTGCCGTCCGTCGATCTGGAACGGCCGCGGATCGTGTGGCTGCGCTGACTGTGGTTATACAGGACGACCCTGTAGCGAATCTCTCCAACCTGGACGCGTTACTGGGTAAGAGACATTGAAAAGTGCGCGCTTTTAGGGTAAGATGCACCTCCTATCCCCCGCTTAACCCCACTCCCCCGCCTTCCCCCCTTCCACGCAGCCATGGTGTTGAACAAGGCCACCAAGCGCCACGCCGTAGGCGCCATGGACGCGCTCAGCGAGCTTTTCACCTCCTCGCTGCTCCTCTTCCTTCCCCTTTCCCCCCTCCTCCCTCTTCCCCCCCACCCCGCCCACGCAGCCATGGTGTTGAACAAGACCACCAAGCGCCACGCCTTAGGCGCCATGGACGCGCTCAGCGAGCTTTTCACCTCCTCGCTGCTCCCTGACTCGCGCAAGCTGCGCTGGCTGCACCAGCAGCCGCTGCTTCTCCTGTCCCCGCTAAAAGCATCCCCGCTACAAGCCGCTTCGCTACAAGCTGCCTCGCAGCAGTCAAAGGGCGAGGGAAAAGCAGGAGGGAAGGTGACTGTAGCGGGGGGAGATGCGGGCAGGAGGCTGCTGCGGCTGTGGCGATACGAGGAGTGCTTGAAGGAGCGGTTCGAGCGGTTTTTGGAGGGGTTGGAGGAGGGCGGAAAGGACGTGGTCGAGTTTGTGCGCGACAAGGTGCTTCGCATTCTGCATGCCCTGCTGTCGTCCAAAGCGGAGGGGGAGAGACGGGTGCTGCAGGCGCTGGTGAACAAGGTGAGCGAGCAGTTAGTAGGGCGAGGAGAGGCGCTGCACTGCATATATACCCCTACTGTATATATGCAGGTGCTTCGCATTCTGCATGCCCTGCTGTCGTCCAAAGCGGAAGGGGAGAGACGAGTTTTGCAGGCACTGGTGAACAAGGTGAGCGATGGGGGAGGGGGAAGGGAGGGCGAGTAGAGACAAGGTGCTTCGCATTCTGCACGCTCTGCTGTCGTCTAAAGCAGAGGGAGAGAGACGGGTGCTGCAGGCACTGGTGAATAACGTGAGTGGCTTAGCGGGGGGAGGGATGGGGGAAAGGCAGATATTGCAAGATGTTCCGCATCCCCAGCTCCCCCTTCTTCCCCCTCCTCCCACCCGTCCCCTTTTCCTCCTCCCGTGTCCTGCTTCCCCTGTCCCCGCTCCCTGTTCTTGCTTCCCCCTATTCTTGTTCATGTTGCTCCAGCTCGAGAACCCGAGTTTTGAGGCGCCTCAAAACTAGCCTTCCCTGTTCTTGCTTGCTTCCCCCTTCCCCATGTTGCTCCATCTCGAGAACCTCGAGCCGGAAGGTCCCTTTCAAGCCGAGCTACCTGGTGGGCTGTCTGCTAGACGCTCACCCCAACATGGCCCCCGTGGTGGTGAAACACGGCCAGGCATTCCTTCTCACTCCCCCCTACTTTCCCACCTCCCCCCTTTCCTTTCCGCCCCTTAATCCCCAATCCAGCTGGGAGACCCGAGTCGAAAAGTGGCCTCCAAGGCCAGCTACCTGCTGGGCTGTCTGCTAGACGCCCACCCCAACATGGCCCCCGTGGTGGTGAAACACGTGGAAGCATTTGTCTTCCGCCCCAACATCAGCACGCGCGCGCGGCACTACGCGGCCGTCTTTCTGAACCACATCACCCTGTCGCACAAGGGGCTGGGCCCCATGCTCGCCAGACAGCTCATTGACCTCTACTTCGCTCTGTTCAAAGTGGTGACGATGGGTGCGGGAGGGGATGGGGACGGGGACGGGAAGGGGCGGTGGGAGGGGAGAGGAGGAGAAGGGAGGGGTGGAGGGAGAGGGAGAGGGAGGGGTGGAAAAAGAGGGGGACGGGGAGGAGAGCGGGGGGGAAGAGGAGGGAGAGGAGGGAGGGGAGGGAGAGGAGGAGGGGGGAGAGGAGGGGGAAGGAAAGGGAAGGACCGGTTTGTGTCGGCAGCAGCGGCGCCGGGAGTGGGAGGGGTGGAGGGGCATGAGTTGGAAGCAGATAGTGCATTGCTGTCGGCTCTTTTGACAGGTGCGTTGCTAATGATGAGGGTGTTATCATCGAGTATGTTTTTTTGGTGAATTAGAAGTTGGCAGCAGCGCCAGGAGTGGGCGGGGTGGAGGGGGCATGAGTTGGAGGCGGATAGCGCGTTATTGTCAGCTCTTTTGACAGGTATGTTATATCGAGTATCTTCTTTTAGGCAGCACCACCTGCAGCAGCGCCAGGAAGGAGTGGGAGGGGTGGAGGGGCATGAGCTGGAGGCGGATAGTGCTTTGCTGTCAGCTCTTTTGACAGGTATAGCATTAACGCAGTTGTTAAAATCAAGCATGTTTTTTTAGGGCGAATCTTCCCCTCTGCTTGGCCTGTCCCCCACCCATCTCACAGGTGTGAATTGTGCATTTCCATACGTCGCTGAGTTACCAGAGGTGATAGAGTTGCTCTCATCTCCTTCCTTATCCCTTCCCCTCCCAATGGCAGGTGTGAACCGTGCATTCCGCTACGTGGCAGAGGATGATGTTACAGAGGTCATTGAAACGCACACACCCCTCCTCTTCCGCATGGTGCATGCGGCCAGCTTCAATCTGGGCGTGCAGGCGCTGCTGCTGCTGTTCCAGCTCATGGGCAAGAGCGCTGCTCTCAGCTCCCGCTATTACCGCGCACTCTACTCTGTGCTCTTCTCACCTGCTCTCGCCAAGTCTTCTAAGGTGGGTAATTAGGTTAGGTGTGGGGCCCAGGGTTGGGAACCAGGGCTGGGTTGGGCCAGGGTCGGGGCTAAGGGGTGGGAGTTCTTGTCTTGATTCCAGGGCAAGGCAGTGACTCCCAGTGGCAGTGCAGGCGCTGCTGCTGCTGTTCCAGCTCATGGGCAAGAGCGCTGCTCTCAGCTCCCGCTATTACCGCGCACTCTACTCTGTGCTCTTCTCACCTGCTCTCGCCAAGTCTTCTAAGGTGGGTAATTAGGTTAGGTGTGGGGCCCAGGGTTGGGAACCAGGGCTGGGTTGGGCCAGGGTCGGGGCTAAGGGGTGGGAGTTCTTGTCTTGATTCCAGGGCAAGGCAGTGACTCCCAGTGGCAGTGCAGGCGCTGCTGCTGCTGTTCCAGCTCATGGGCAAGAGCGCTGCTCTCAGCTCCCGCTATTACCGCGCACTCTACTCTGTGCTCTTCTCACCTGCTCTCGCCAAGTCTTCCAAGGTGGGTGATGAGGCTTGGGGCCCAGGGTTTGGAACCCTTTTGGAGGCAAAGCTTGGGGCTCAGGTTTAGATTCAGGGGTGGGAGTGTCCTTGAGGCTCAGGGGCTAGTCTGCTAAGGTGGGTGATGAGGCCTGGGGCCAGGGTTGCAGCTCAGGGTTGGGTCTATCACCTCTGTCAACCTGACTCTCCCAACCAGTTAAATGATCCCCCTCCTCTTTTCCCCGCAACCGCCCGTCTCCCTCCCATCCCCGCATCCCCTAACAGGGTCCCATGTTTATGGCGCTGGTGTTCAAGTCAATGAAAGCAGACATCAACCTGCCGCGCATAGCAGCGTTCGCCAAGCATCCCCTCCCTCTGCCCTCCCTCCCTTGTTCCAATGACCCCTCACTTCTTACCTCCCTCCACCTCCCTCCACCTCTGTCTACCCCTTTCCACCGGATATCAGGGTCCCATGTTTATGGCGTTGGTGTTCAAGTCAATGAAAGCAGACGTCAACCTCCCGCGCATTGCAGCGTTTGCCAAGCGGCTGCTGCAGGTGGCGCTGCAGCAGCAGGCCACATTCGCATGCGGGGCCCTACTCCTTATTTCCCAAGTGCTCAAAATCCGACCCATGTTGTGGTAAGGGACAGCGCGTGTTGGTAAGGGACAGCGCGTGCTGGTAAGGGACAGCGCGTGTTGGTAAGGGACAGCGCGTGTACTGGTAAGGCCACAGTGCATGTACTGGTAAGGCCACAGTGCATGTACTGGTAAGGCCACAGTGCATGTACTGGTAAGGCCACAGTGCATGTACTGGTAAGGCCACAGTGCATGTACTGGTAAGGCCACAGTGAATGTACTGGTAAGGCCACAGTGAATGTACTGGTAAGGCCACAGTGCATGTACTGGTAAGGCCACAGTGCATGTACTGGTAAGGCCACAGTGCATGTACTGGTAAGGCTACAGTGCATGCACTGGTAAGGCCACAGTGCGTGTACTGGTAAGGCCACAGTGCATGTACTGGTAAGGCCACAGTTCGTGAGGTGCCTGAGAAGCCAAGTGGTGGCGGGCGCTGCAGCAGCAGGCCACCTTTGTGTGTGGCGCTCTACTGCTTATCTCCGAAGTCCTGAAGCTGCGTATGGTGGATGGTGTTGTATGGAAGAGGCCAAGCTGCGCCCCATGCTGTGGTGAGGAAAGGGAGGATGGTGTTGTATGGAAGAGGCCAAGCTGCGCCCCATGCTGTGGTGAGGAAAGGGAGGATGGTGTTGTATGGAAGAGGCCAAGCTGCGCCCCATGCTGTGGTGAGAATGGGCCCATGCGTCCTAGACGCAGGACGCGTCTTTCTCCATGGGCCCATGCTGTGGTGTGAGTTAGACTTGAACTCGTGAGGATGAGTACTTGCTGTGGTGAGGAGCCGATGCTGGCGTCCTGCTCTGCTTTACTTGTCGAGTCCGAAGTTTCAGTGCTGGCAGTGCTGCATGTGTCGCCTTGGTTGCCTGTGGTGCATTTGTTGTCTTGTTGCTTCTTTTTGCATCTTGTTGCAGCTGTTTCGTTTGTTGTGTTCGATGCCTTTGAGAACAACCCTTGCCATCTCAGAAGATCAAATCGAAACTGTTTTCCTGTGCGTAATTTGTATTTATGTGTGCTTCTTTTGTTTTTTCTTAACAGGAGTGCTATCTTAGAACCAGAAGCAAATACAGACGACGTGGAGCATTTTGTGGACGTGGATAAGGAAGCAGCTAGTAACGAGGATGGGGTTGAGGGGAAGAAGGTGCAAGGGAAAGGAAGAGGCGAGGAGGGAGATGAGGAAGAGGACGAAGATGGGAGAAAGAGGAGGGAGGGAACATACGATCCAAAGCAAAGGGAGCCGTCCCTGTGGTAAGTATACTGGGGGTTGGCTCTGTGATGATTATATGGGGGTGTGACTCTATGACAGCAGATAGGGGGATGGCGCTTTCGTGAGTAGTATGGGTGTGACACTACCCTATAAACATCGTCCCATCTCTAGTGAATAAACGTGTTCAGAGAAGTAAGCCTACTTTTCCCCCTTCGCCGTTCTCTCCCTCTTTTACAGGCAACCCATCCAGGACCTCTCCCTCTCTTCGCCTTCCTCTTACTCCCATTTTCCCCCCACCTTTTCCCCCGCACCCGCCCTTCCCTTCCCCCACCTTACGCCCCTGCTCCTGCCCCATCAACCCCTCCCTCCTCCCCACTCCCTCCAGCCATGCGGATCGCGCGTGCTGGTGGGAGCTGGCAGCATTGGCAGCGCACATGCACCCCACAGTTTCTCGCCTCGCCGCCTCCCTGCTCTCAGGCGAACCCGCCTCCTTCACAGGCGACCCCATCCAGGACCTCTCCCTCTCCGCCTTCCTCGACCGGTTTGCTGAGAAGCAGCAGATGAGAATGAAAGCTGCGGGTAGGGAGAATGCTGCTTCTGCTGCTGCGGTGGCGGCGGCAGGGGGGAGGAGAAGCGTGGGGTTTGTGAAGGATGGGGGGAAGGGGCAGGTTCAGGCGCATGATGCGTTTTTCCATCAGTTTTATGCGATGCAAGGGGAGTTGGGGTCGAGATGGAATAAGGGGGAGAAGAAGGGGGGAGAGGGTTGGGGAAAGAGAAGGGAGGAGGATGAGGAGGGATTGGATGTAGATATGAAGATCGCAGAGGATGGTGATATGAGGGAGGATTTGGAGGAGGGGGGTGAGGGGGGGGAGGAAGAAGAGGAGGAAGAAGGGGAAGAGGAGGAGGAAGAGGAGGATGAGGGAGAGGAAGGGGCTGGGTTCGCAGGGGGAGGGTTCCTGGAAGTTTCGGATGATGATGAGGCTGCTGACGAGGCGATCAAGAACTGGATGGAGGAGGAGGGAGGCGATGGGGGGAGCGATTTGAGTGAGGGAGAAGAGGGTGGGGGGGAGGATGATGAGGAGGAGGAAGAAGAGGAGGAAGGGGATGGGGGCTTTGAGTTTGATTATGATGACATGGATGATTTGGCTGGGGAGGATGCTGTTGGGGATGAGGAGGAAGAGGAGGCAGAGTTGGAGGAGGAGGAGGAGGAGGAGGATGAGGATGAGGATGAAGGCAAGGGGGAGGGGGCGGGAGAGGAGGAGGGAGAAGGTGAGGAGGAGGAACTGGAGGAGGTAGCAACTAAGCCAAGCTCGAGGAAGGGAGGCAGCAGTGGGAAGGCAAAGAAGGAGCGTGCACCGGTGAATGTGAAGAGGGGAGGGAGCAAGAGAGCAACATATATTCAGAGTGATAATCATGAGAATGTGGGGAAGCCTTCCAAGAAGCAGCGGAAAGGGGAAGTGGCGGTTGATGCTGCCGAGGAGAAAGTCAAGAAAGCGGACAAGAAGAGCCGTGGCGGAAAGATGAAAGGGGGTTTGTCTAGTAGCCCTTTTGCAGACTTTGATTCGTATGCCCATTTGTTGGATGACTGACTGATTTGATGTGTATTCTGACGATTTATGGATAATAGGGAGCTTGTCATTCTGAGTAAACAATTAGCAAAAAGTATGCTGGTGTGAAGTAAAATCATCGTTACGCTCGACGCAACAACGCGTACGTGGTTGTCATTAGCACCTCCTTCCTCCCCCAACGCATCATCCTCGCACAACCCGCAACAGCGCATTCTCCGCCCACCTATTCCGCCCCCCACTTCCGCACCCCCCTATCCGCCCCGCTCTTCCGCCCCTCATTTCCGCTTGCATCCCCCTCCCGCATCTTCCGCTCCCTCCTCGCGTTACGACCATCGGCCGGCTTCAAATCCCTAATTCCATTGTCGTTGGCGAATATTATCATCTCCTCTTAGCTGCTCACCACCACTAAAGGTTTGCCACGTGACGCCGCGTCGCTGCTCTCCAATTACCGATGTTCGCCACGTGGCTGCGCCTCGCGGCCCGTCAGACGCACGTGGGCGAGGCGGCGGAGAAGGGATCAGCGGCGGTGATTCTTCGGATAGTAAAGGAGCACGGACCGTGCAACAAGAACGTTCTATGGACGCACGCGGAGGTAATAGGAACGTGCTGTGTCAGTTCATGCGTTTTTTCGTGAGAGGTATACGATCGTGGGATGGCAAGGCAGGGAGATGTGTTCCCAGATTGCGCTGATTCTATGAATAAATGGTTTAGCGAATTCGTAAATAACGGGTATGACAAATGGTCAGCTCGACCCCGAGTATAGTAAACCGGATCACAATCGCAAGAGAACGAAAGCAAAAATGTTAGAAGGAGTGTGATCCACAGTGCAGACAGTAAGGATTGACAGTGGCCGATAGAAATGAGATGGGTGTCTAGGAAAATGCCGGCTCGTGCGTGCTCAGGGCTCGATCGAGAAGTTTGTTTCCGCTTGGGAAGCGGAAGGGGTATGCAAGAGGAAGTGGTGGAGAGGGGTAGTGAGGTGAGGGTGCAGTATGAGGGAGAATGGAGAAGGGAAGGGAAGGGAGAAGGGGGTGGGTTCTAGGGGAAGGCGCTGTTACAAGGGGTTTCAGCACAAAGGTTCTGAACAAAAGTGGTTTGAAGGGATTAGTCAAGGGAGTCAGGATCTCGGGTCGTATGTTGGGATGCCAGGCAAAGGCTGCCCAATCCCCTGCAATACCCATTTCCTTGTTATGTTTCTCCTTCCTTCCCTTTTTCCTCCTGCAGTTCTAATGCTACGTCTTCTTTCCCTGCACCTTTCCACCCACGTTCGCACATTGATCAAATCGCTTGTTCAAACCCTAGTATGACTCAAAAGGAAACATTTTCTTTTTCTCTCAATCAATCAAGCGCCTCATCCATCTCGCCGGGTATCCATCCTCTTTTCTCATCTTCCTCCACTTTCCATCACCCTCACATCCCACTAATCCTTACTAGGAGGTGGGCATGAAAAGCAAGCAGCCCATGAAACTCATGCTGCTGTGGCTCATGGAAGTTTATTTTTGTACCCAGATCGTTGAAGTGCCTTTCAGTCGACCTTTGCCATCCCACATTTACCTCCTCTTCCCCCCCCCCCTCCTCCCCTCAACACTGTCTCGTCCCTTTAAACTAGGAGGCGGGGGTGTAGAGCAAACGACACATGAATCTCATGCTGCAGTGGCTCAAGGATAACCATTATGTACCTAAATCAATCAAGTTCCTTCTATTTGCCATCCCCACGTGTCCTTCTCCATCCTCCCAACACCCTCTCATCCCTTGTCATCAGGAGAGAGGGGGGTGGGAGGGGGGGAGGGGGTGGGGTTGAAGAGCAAGTGTCACATGAAGCTCATGCTGCAATGGCTAAAGGATAATCAATCTTGAAGAATAAACCAGTCAAGTGCCCCGCACATGACCAGTGTCATATTCTTTTCTCCATACCCTGTCTCCCCTTCCCCCTCTCGCCTCTCCCCATCAACCTCACATCTGTCGTCACCAGGAGGTGGGCGTAAAGAGCAAGCGGCACATGATGCTCATGCTGCGGTGTGGTGGCTCAGGGAAAATAATTCTGTGGTTTAATCAGTCAAGTGCCCCCGCACGTGACCGGTGTCACACTCTCTTCTCCCTACCTTGTCTCCCGCTCCCCCTCTTGGCCCCCCCATCAACCTCACATCCCCCAACAACAGGAGGCGGGGGTGAAGAGCAAGCGGCACAAGAGGCACATGCTGCAGTGACTCAGGGGAAATAAATCTGGGGTTTAATCAGTCAAGTTCCTCGCACATGACAGGTCTCATACCGTACTCTCTTCGCTCTACCCTGTCTTCCCCTCCCCCTTCTGGGCCCCCCATCAACCTCACATCCCTCATCACCAGGAGGCGGGGGTGAAGAGCAAGCGGCACATGAAGCTCATGCTGCGGTGGCTCATGGAGAAGAATCAGATCCGCATCAAGTGCCTCACACATGACCCCTCAGCGCCACACCAAGCAGGTTCGGCAGGGTCAGCAGGTTCGGCAGGTGGTGCAGCGGCTGCCGCTGCTGCTCCGAGGGGAGCTGGATCGGGTGCCTTTGCTGCAGCGGCAGCGGGTAGAGTGCAACCGGCTGGTGTGAAGAAGAGAGCTTCGAAGCATGTGTCTGTAGAGAAGGAATTTATTTACTCCATTGCCCCGAGATATGTTCCACCAAGCTCGTCGTGACCATCTTTTTGCCTGCTTTGAGGAAAGTGTTTTACAAAGTTTATTTGGAGGTAGCAATGTATGGACCGCACTTGCCGTGCGCTAATGAAGCATGAATTTATTGTAACTTCGTTGTACAATTACGGTATGCGGAGTCTAAATCTTGTCAACATGTTAGCTGCTGAAAATAAAATCCTCAAATGACCTAAATGTAGAGGATGTTGATGAAACGGCCTCATTACCTACAATATATATCGAGTTTGCTGCTTTGGCGAGTATTGGGTGGGCTGAGCACGAGGACTCTTGCGCCAATATTGCTTAAGTCAAGCACATACGACAGTCGTCAAGTAGGGCAGGGCATTCACCTTGATGAATGTTTGATTCTGCGCAGCACTAGACGTATGCATGCACTTGTAAGTTTCACATGCTCGATGGTGGTGGTCCTCCAGAAGAGTCGGTCTAACAACACTGTACCACATCGTTGCCGAAGCCCGCCAAGTTGAAGGAACTCTACTCTGCCCATTTTGTCAGGACTTCATAGGAGAATGGCATGATAGCGCGTCCGATTCCCTTCGGGGCAGCAAAACTTTCGTGGACCTTTCGATGAACCCGAGGCCGAGGCTCCCAGAAGCAGCAGCGTCGCACACCGCCGCATGCCCATCGACTGATCCCTGACCAATGAGTCGACGATCTCTAACGTCTGGCAAACGCTTTACCGCACCTTCCAAACGACTGCCATGCCAACTTGTTGACGCTGCCGAGCCAGTTTTCCCCCCCTTGGTCGGAAAATCGGTTGTCGGAGAATTCGCTCGGTCACTGCAGGCAGTGCGAAGGAGGGGCATGGCGGTTCGGCCGGCTCCTTGAGAACTACGAATTCTCCCGTCATCAACAAGGCTCTTCCCCTGCCCAGCCAATGAGGTCTGGCGGGACGCGTTCAACTTGGTCAGGCTCATTAGCCATTCAGCTTCGAAGCGTCTCTCGCGCCAATCCCAAGGCAATAAAGCTCCATCCACATTCCGTCGTTACCAAACCACACAACCGTACGTTAAAAAGGCTTAACGCAAAAAACCCTATCAAACCCAGCTCTTCATACCAAGCCATCCCTAACATACCTTGCAAGGTATGTTTCTGGCGAACCAGGTTGAGCGGGGCAAGCGGAACCGTTGAATGCCAGCGCCTCTCACCATCGCCCCCGCCAGCAATCTCGTCAGTCCCCGCCAGCACTCACCAGTTTCCCCCGTTCCCGCGCTCCCTCTCTTCCGCGCTCGTCACGCGAACCTCCTCGCAGCAGCACCATTTGAAACCAGGCTGTAAATGTCCGCCTTCTTCCGCGGCATTCGGTTGGTAGGGAGAGAATCCACGGCACATATAAACCACTCAACTCGACTTTCTTGATTTCACCATTATTGCAGCCTATAATCCCCCCAGTTTTGATAAACTCAAGCAAGCCACACCAAATTACAGGAAGTCTAGTTCCTCATTGGACTCCTTGGTAGTATCCGCTTGCTCCGCGCTAGTTAGTACAAACAGAGCTTGGGGACGCTGTTCTTAATCAGCAGCCCTTGCCGTGGCAGTTCTACAGCAAGTTCTTTTCATAGTCTTTCGTTTTTCCGAGAAGCTTCCGCGCATCTGTTGTTCCTCTCAGCTATTTTCGTTCCTTCTTGGTCCTCAAAAAGTGTAACCGAGTGCAGCAAAAACTGCAGAAACAGCAAAAGCGTACCGGCACTCAAGATGCCGTACTGTGTGATTCCGTCAAATGCAACCATTGGGAAGGGAAACAACGGAGCGAGTGCGAAAAGAGCAGAAAGCAGCGATGACGGACAAGTAAAACTGTTCTATGAGACCTATGGCAAAGGCGACACGAAAGTGCTCATGATCATGGGTAAGTGACTCGCCGAGGCGCGCAACACGAAATTTGAGATTCATAACACATGTTATGGTTGTTTCTATTCTGTTTTGAAGTCTGTGGAGTGCTGATTATTCTCGGACAGTCAACCTCATCTATTCTTCCTATTTTCTGAATTTGCTTCCCCTTGCAGGCTTTGCTGCCTCACACATTGCATGGGCGCCGCAGATCAAGCCGCTTTCCGGCACCGACATCCCCAACAGCAAACGTATGTCCAAGCAGCCTAAAGCGGAATCCGCTGCTGCGCCAGCCACCGGCTCCGACGACAATTCCGCCGCTCCTCCCGCCATGCGCATGGACAACCGGTCTGGATGCACGGAAAATGGTGCCTGCGCGGTTGCGGTGACAATAGAAGGGGTGGACGAGCGGGGAGACGTGCAAGCTGTCGAGGCTTTGCGGCTGGAGGAAGCGGGGAAGGAGCAGAGAGAGGCGGAAGGAGGCGCAGAGGAGGAGGACTTGATTCTCACGGGAAGGGAGGTTTGCGTTTTCGACAACCGAGGGATTGGCAACAGCACGTGTCCCACCGACAAGAATGCGTACACGTGCGTGTTTTCTAATGCTGAGACATTTCCTTCTCCCCTCCTCCGCACTCATCCTGGCAACGGATGCATTGCATCTGATGTCATCAACGTCAACTTAACATACACCTATTTCCTTTCCCCTTTGCTGTAACCATCAGAACTGCGATCATGGCGATGGATGCACTGCATCTGGCGGATCACCTCGGCTGGACGCATTTCCACCTTGTTGGCCATTCCATGGGCGGTATGATCGCCAGCAAAGTGGCTGCCACCGCTCCCCACCGAGTGAAATCCCTGGCGCTTATCAGCGTCAGCGGTGGCGGCTTCGACCTCTTACCCAGGGTATGCGACCTGGTCGGTGCTCCGTGTGATGCTCTCAAGTGCTTTTGTGCACAAGACCCATTCTGTCAGTGCTGCACGTGTGAATGCATGCGTGTTACAATTGTGGCGGCTTTCTTGAACTCAATTTGGAGCACACTTGGACCTTGTTGCTCACTTCTGTTCCCCTGCGTATTTCTCCGTCCTGTTAACCAGCTTGACAGCCGGCTCTTCTCGGTGGGAGTGAGGATGATGAAGGCGCGTACGCCCGAGATGAGGGCGCACGTGGACCTGGACACGCACTTCTCGCGGGAGTTCATGGACGAGGTGGCTGGCAGCTCGTCGCGGAGGGACCTCCTGCACGTGGTGAGCAGAGCAGCGTTGCAACACTGGCTGCTGCGGCAGCACTCTCGTATAGAACCTTTGGCTGCCCATTTACGGAGTTTTGATGCGTGACGCAGACGTTCCCAAAAATCGACTCGTGTTGTTAGCTCTGTGGCCGCGTGTTTAAGCCTTGACCCTGTGACTGCTACTTCTCCTTCCATCTGTCTCTCTCGTGCTTGCAGGAGTACGTGCAGGTTCTGTCGGAGCCAGGGGCAATGCAGCCACCGCACGCTGCGAGCGGGCATTTCAACGCGTGCTGGACCCACAAGCTGACCCGGGACAATATTGACAGCATCTGCAGCGCTCGCATCCCTACTGCCGTGATCCATGGAGTGTGAGTAACTCTCTGCTATGCCGTGAGAGTCTGAGATGCTGCATTTGTTGTTTTTTTCACGCATCACACCCACGCGCATTGCACACACACACACCAGCAGTGGCCTTCAGCTTTTCCGGTTCCCTCACCTTCTCTGTTCCTCCCTATTCCCTCTCTCTTCCTTCCTGCAGGGATGACATCATAGCACACGTCTCCCTGGGTGAGCGCGTCGCCAAGCGCCTGGCATTCGTGGCCCGGTTCATCCCACTCCTAGGGGCGCACATGGTGGTGCGGGAGCGCACGCACGAGGTGAACGCGTGTCTGGAGGAGCTCTTTGATGCCGGGGAGGCTCGCGTGCCTGTGGAGCAGTGGGTGCGGAGTCGTAGTGATTTGGACCTGCCTGGCTCGGCACGCGAGCAGCATGAGAAGGCCAAGAAGAAGACTCTTGCGGCGCAATTCAGGCACGGTGCTGCACAGTCTCCCTCAGTTTTTTTTTTTTTTTTTTCCCTCTCTCATGTGCTCCATATTGATGCTGTGGTGTTGTTTCCTGTACGTCCGTTGTTCTCTGCCCATCTCTGCCCTTGTATGTTTCCATTCCCTCTTTCCTTCTTACACCGTCTTTAGCATGCCCGCAACGATACCCTTCCTCACCCCCCGTCTCCCCTTCCACCTATTTCCCCTTTCACCCGTCCCCCTCGCCACACCTACAGGGCTCTGCTGTGGACCCTGTTTCTCCCCCTGTACCTCGTGATCTGCCAGCTGCTATCGTGGCCAGTACCCGACGAAAAGAGCCCAGCTTACAGATCTCAGAGTGATGATTCCAACATGAATGATGTGGAATCGGGACTTGATGAGATTAATGAAGCAGAATCTGCATCGCTGCGCTGCTGCTGCCCACCCTGGGGCGCTAGCTTCCTAGGAAACGGTGATCAGAAGTATGGAGAGCTTGGGAACGGCGGAGGGTTAAAGGGTGGAGAATGGAGAGGGTTTTCTGCTGCTGCTGCTGCTGCTGCATCGGTTGGACTGTCTGGGTTGGAGGCTGATGCATCTGCAGCTGACATGTCGCCCCTTCTCGCTCCTGCAGTTCCCACAATAACAGTTCATGGCTGATGCTGACGACAGTACTGTTTGACAACGACAATGATGCTACCTGATATACGAGTGGCCAATTGCGGCTGCTCTCCTCATACTGCCTCTCCATCAAGCTCGATGGATTCTGAGGCAAATAAACGGCCAAGAAAATTTGGCCCACTATCCTAACATAGAGTTTTGTGTTTTCTTACAATGTGTGTGGTGTGGACCCTGTATAGAATCAATATAATGATTTGAGTTTATTTCAATGTACCGGTAAATCAGCACCACCCTGACGGGATTGTGTAGACGGGGATAACAGCCCTGACTTCCGTTCCGTATCCCTTCTGCTGTCGGCACCTCCCTCACCGCCACCAGCGATTCCGTCACTCCCCCGCCGCTGACCCAGCCGCCAACACTCACCAAACTCACTCCTGCATGATTCCAGCCTATATATTTCGTCCAGTCCTGTTGACAAACTCGAGCATGACATATCGAATCACTTGAAAGTCTAGTTCCTCACTGGACTTTCTCGGGAGTTTCCGCTTGCACAGCGCTAGCTAGTACAAAAGCCTGAACGCTGTCCGTAATCATCGACCCCGTGCCACAGATACCCCGTGCCACACCGACCCGTTCCGTGATAGTACCCAGCTGCTGTTATTGTACAGTCGAGTTGTTTCCACAGTCTTTCATGTTTTCGAAGCTTCCTCTCAGCTACTCGTCTTTCGTGATCCTTTTTTACTCTCGGATTATAGCGTAACCCAATGCAGCAGAAGCAGTAGAAACAGCAAAAGCGGATACCGGCACTCAAGATGCCGTACTGTATGATTCCGTCAAATGCAAGCGATGGGAAGAGAAACAACGGAGCGAGTGCGAAAAGGGAAGAATGCAGCGATGACGGACAAGTGAAACTGTTCTATGAAACGTATGGCAGAGGCGACACGAAAGTGCTCATGATAATGGGTAAGTGACACGCTGAGGTCCTGGCAATACAAAATAATAATTTCAATACACATTTCAATGGCCTGTTCCTTTTTCGTTTTCATGTGGCTCTTTTCTGTCAATCAGTATCGCGTGCCTTCCTGTCTTCTGAATACGCTACGCGTTGCAGGCTTTGCTGCCATGCACAACGCGTGGTGGCCGCAGATCAAGCCGCTTTCAGGCACCGACATCCCTAACAGCAAACGGGCATCGAGGAAGTTTAAGACGAATTCTGTTGCTGCACCTTCCACTGCAGCACCTTCCGTTGCAGAGCCTTCCGCTGCAGCGCCTCCTGATGCAGCACCTTCCGATGCAGCACCTTCCGCTGCAGCGCCTCCTGATGCAGCACCTTCCGATGCAGCACGTTTTGCTGCACCGCCTTCTCTCTCTGCTGCACCGCCTTCTCCTTCCGCTGCACCGCCTTCTCCCTCCGCTGAACCGCCTTCTCCCTCCGCTGAACCGCCTTCTCCCTCCGCTGAACCGCCTTCTCCCTCCGCTGAACCGCCTTCTCCCTCCACTGCACCGCCGTCTCCCTCCGCTGCACCACCTTATCCTTCCGCTGCAGCACCAGCCGCTGGCTCGGATGACAACGCCGCCGCCCCTCCTGCAGTGTGCATGGCCGACCGGTCTAGATGCAATGGAAGTGGTGACTGTACAGTGAATGTGACAGTAGAGGGGGTAGAGGAGCGGGGAGATGTGCAAGCTATGTCGGACAGTGGGCTTGAGCAAGCGGCTTTGCGGCTGGAGGAAGGGGGGAAGGAACTGAGGGAAGCGGAAGGAGGTGATGGGGAAAAGGAAGAGGAGGAAGAGGAAGGGAAAGAGGAAGCGGAGGAAGAGGAAGGGAAAGAGGAAGAGGAGGAAGAGGAAGAAGAGGATCTGATTCTCACAGGCAGGGAGGTATGCGTGTTTGACAACCGAGGAATCGGCAAGAGCACATGCCCCATGGACAAGAAAGCATACACGTGCGTATTTTCTATTGTTGCTTTGTGGCATAAGGACATAGTGATTATTTAAACAGCAGAGGCTTATTGGTTAGGCCAGTCGTAGATCTCGTCCGGCAGGTTACACCTCCAGGCACTGTCTTTGCAGCAGACAAAGTGTCTCACTAGGTGACTTTTGAGTCGACTCGTTACACCTCCAGGAACTGTTGCAGGGTGTTTTTGAGAATTCTAAAAACCACCCTGTCGACTCAAAAGTCACCTCGTTACACGTCCAGGCACTGTCTTTGCAGCAGACAAAGTGTCTCACTCGCGCCCATTTTCTTCCCTCCTGCCGTTCGCCCTCTCCTCTCCGCAAATCATTTTCATCATTTCTGTTGAACCAACTCAAGGCGTTTCCTGCCCATTCTCCCCGCGTCCCTAACCATCAGGACTACAATAATGGCGATGGATGCGCTGCATCTAGCGGATCATCTCGGCTGGACGAAATTCCACGTGGTGGGGCATTCAATGGGAGGCATGATCGCTACCAAAGTGGCTGCCATCGCTCCCCACCGAGTGAAATCCCTGGCGCTTATCAGCACTAGTCGTGGCGGCTTCTTTTGAGGCGCCTCAAAAGAAATCCCTGGCGCTTATCAGCACTAGTCGTGGCGGCTTCTTTTGAGGCGCCTCAAAAGAAATCCCTGGCGCTTATCAGCACTAGTCGTGGCGGCTTCGACATCCTGCCCAGGGTATGTGGCTTGGCTGGTGAGACAAACTGGCATGCGACATGGACCGTGTTTTGTGGGTTGCGCTTGTTTGCCTTTTCTGCACAAAGCTCACTCGACATCCTGCCCGTGATCCGTGGGTATCCGACGTGAGTCTTCTGTGACATCTTGGCCTGTGTTCCGAGGTAACTTTTGAGTCGACTCAAAAGTAAAATGTCACCTTCTGAGTCAACTCAAAAGTCAAAAGTCACCTTCTGAGTCGACTCAAAAGTCAAAAGTCACCTTCTGAGTCGACTCAAAGGTCAAAAGTCACCTTCTGAGTCGACTCAAAAGTCATAAGTCACCTTCTGAGTCGACTCAAAAGTCAAAAGTCACCTTCTGAGTCGACTCAAAAGTCAAAAGTCACCTTCTGAGTTGACTCAAAAGTCAAAAGTCACCTTCTGAGTCGACTCAAAAGTCAAAAGTCACCTTCTGAGTCAACTCAAAAGTCGTCAGTCACCTTTTGAGTCGACTCAAAAGTCACCAAGCTCACTCGACATCCTGCCCAAGGTATCTGACCTGAGTCGTCTGTGACATCTTGGCCTGTGTTCCGTGGGTTTCCTCTCTCGAGTGCTTCTATTCTATACAAGACCCATCCTGTCACTGCTGCACTGCACGGGTGAGTACATACATGTGTGGCGAGCTCTCACACATGGGTGCAAGCTCTCAGCTGAGCTGCTGGGGTGCGCCGTTACCTAGCGCATTAGCTTCAGTTTCGGCCCCTTCACAGACTTAGAAGCATATTTTGAAGCACACAGGGATCTTGATACTCAGTTATCCTGGTTACCCTACCCCTGCCCCCTTTTCCCCCCTTCTCTCCCTCCCCTACGTCCTACCCGTCTCCTTCCCCATCGCCCCTTTCCTGAATACCAGCTCGATCGCCGGTTCTTCTCCGTGTTCATGAAACTGGCGACAGCACACATGACAGAGTCCAGATCGCTGGTGGATTTGGAGTGTGTGTTTTTTTAGAATTCTCAAAAGAACATACACGCCAGAGTCCAGAGCGCTGGCGGATTTTGGTCATGCATTTCACAAAGGAGTGACTTGGTGTCACGCCTTTCTGTTCTCCCCTCCTCGTCTCCCTCATCCCTGGATACCAGCTCAACGAACGGTTCTTCTCCGTGGGCACGAAACTGGTGACGGCACGCACGCCCGAGTCGAGAGCGCGCGTGGATTTGGTGATGCACTTCTCAGAGGAGAGACTTCTGTGTCCACTCAACAGTCCCTTTCCCGTCGCCCTTCCCTGGACGCCAGCTCGACCGGCGGTTCTTCTCTGTGGGTACGAAACTGGTGACGGCACGCACTCCGGAGTCGAGAGCGCGCGTGGATCTGGTGATGCACTTTTCAGAGGAGTTCATGCAGCAGATGGTTGGCAGCTCGTCTCAGAAAGACCTGTTGCACCTGGTGAGTAGAGCAGCAGTGCAGCATGTACATGTAGGCTCACATGGCTGGTGAGAGGTTGGTGACAGCACACACGCCAGAGACCAGGGCGCGCGTGGATCTGGTGATGCGATTCTCAGAGGCGTTTATGCAGCAGGTCGTTGGCAGCTCGTCTCAGAAAGACCTGTTGCACCTGGTGAGTAGAGCAGCAGAGTAGCAGTGCAGCATAATTTGCATGTGCATGTGCATGTGCATGTGCATGTGGACACACATGAAGCAGTCTTTAGCACTGGTGGTGCAGCATTGCAGCACGCACTAGCACTGACTGCTGCAGCGGCTCTCCGGAACTGAATCTGAGGGGCGACGACACAACAGCCACATGCAGCCAGGCGGCTGGTGGAACGCAGCACAGGCTTGGAGGCATGCACGTTTAGATAGATTATTTTTGAGACGTCTCAAAAATAACCGCCAATGTTCTCAAAAATAACCTATCTACACGTGGCGTCTCAGACACAACCGCCACATGCTGCCCTGCCAGGCGGCTGGTGGAACGCAGCACATGCTTGGAGGCACGCACGTGTCAGTTTTTAGAAGTGACACATGCATGCCGGACTGGCTCGTGTTGGCTCTGCAAGTACCCATCTTAGTCGTGAGACGTCTCAAGACTGAATCGTGTCAATTCTGCGACTGGCCGCCTTGAAGCGTCTCAATACTGACTCAACTGAGTTGTCGAGCTTCCTTTTTTACGTTCTTCCACCCTCCTTGTGTTCGCAGGAGTACGTGCAGTATCTGTCAGAGCCAGGGGCAAAGCAGGTGCCACACGCTTCTAATCTAACGGACATTTGAACTCAACTAGCCAGCTCCAGTTTTGAGGCGCCTCAAAACTAGACGCCGCAAAACACGCTTATAACGGACATTTGAACTCAACTAGCCAGCTCCACTCATGCCGGACCCACTGGTGTTAACCGTGTACCTCCTCATTCCCCTGCACCCATCTTCCGTGCCTCCCTCCTTGTGCTTTCACGAGTACGTGCTGTATCTGTCGGAGCCAGGGGCACAGCAGGCGCCACACTCTGCCAGTGGGCATTTGGATTCAACTAGCAACCCCTACTCATGCTGGATGCACTCGTGCTAACTGTGTACCTCCCCTTTCCCCTCCACCCATCCCCCATCCCGCCCTCCTGGTGCTTGCAGGAGTACATGCAGTATCTGTCAGCGCCAGGGGCACTGCAGGCGCCACACGCTACCAGCGGGCATTTGAACGCCGTTTGGACGCACAAGCTGACCCGGGACAACATTGACAGCATCTGCAGCGCTCGCATCCCCACCGCTGTAATTCATGGAGTGTGAGTGTCTCTTTCTATATTGTGTGAACTCATAAAATGGCCAAGCCACTCTTGTTGTCTGTCTGTGTATTGAGATGTCTCAAAACTCCCCACTACTGTAATCCATGGAGTGTGAGGGTCTCTTTCTATGCCGTGTGAACTCATAAGGTGGCCAACCCATAAACTTGCTGTCTGCCTTCCAGGATTTTTTTTTTTTTTTTTTTTTTTGCTAGGTGCCCGACAATAATGGCTCGATTTCTTTTGCAGACACATAATTCCTGCTAAGCGCGCACTAGCATGGACTGACCTGCTTCTCTCCCCTTCCTTCTCGCTCCCTTCTCCCCTCCTCCCTGCAGGGACGACATTGTAGCACACGTCTCCCTGGGAGAGAAGGTGGCCAAGCGCCTGGCACCCATAGCGCGGTTCATCCCGCTTCTAGGGGCGCACATGCTGGTGCGAGAGCGGATAGAAGAGGTGAACGCATGTCTGGAAGAGTTGTTTCAAGCCGCAGAGGCATGTGTGCCTGTGGAGCAGTGGGTGCAGCGTCGCAGCAATGTGTACCTGCCTGAATCGGCGCGGGAGCGGCATGGGAAGGCCGAGGAGAGGAAGCTTGTGACGCGATTTAGCCATGGTGCTGCTCTCTCTCCTTAAGGGATCATTAAATTCGTTCCCTTTTTGGGTTCTCTCGATTTGCTATTTACTTTTCTTATCTTTCTTTATCCTTTTCTTCAGCATTGCCTTCGTATAATATTTTCATGCTGTGTGGTTTTTCTTCTTCTTCTTGGTTGCTGTCGCTCTTGTGTTGTGTTCCATGCTATGGTGTATGTTGGAATGTGCCCCATTGCGCTCTTGTGTTGTGTTCCATGCTATGGTGTGTGTTGGAATGTGCCCCATTGCGCTCTTGTGTTGTGTTCCATGCTATGGTGTGTGTTCCATGCTATGGTGTGTGTTGGAATGTGCCCCATTGTGCGCTGACTCTCTGTCCCCTCTGCCCTGACATGCTCTTTGTTCTATTGCTGTCCTACTACTGTACCTGTACCTGCATTGCTCCATCACACTAAACCCGAATCCCTGTCCTATTTCCGTACCCCATTGAAACATGCCCTCACAGTATCCCGCCCCTCTTTTGCACCTTTTTCCCCCCCTCCCTCCTTCCCCATTGTCAATCCTACAGGGCTGTGCTGTGCACCATGCTTCTCCCCCTCTGCCTCTTGACCTGGCAGCTGCAATCGTGGCCTTCACCCTTTGGATACAGCCCAACTTACCATACAAATCTTTTATTGGGGACTCTCCTACATGAACGACGTGGAGTTGTGTATTTATGAGGCGAATGGAGCACAATCTACGTCTCTGTGCTGACTTTTGAGGCGCCTCAAAAGTCGTCTTTGAGTGAGGACTCTTCAACATGGATTGGCGTGGCATTGTGTTGTGTAGTGATGAGGCGAATGGAGCACAATCTGCGTCTCTGTGCTACGTGTAGAGAGGGTGTTTTTGAGACGTCTCAAAAATACCCTCTCGACACGTGTGTGTTTATGAGGCGAATGGAGCACAATCTGCGTCTCTGTGCTGCTGCTGCCGTGCCGCCGACCTCGGGTGTTTGCTTCCTGGGAAAAGGTGATTTAAAATATGGGGAGCTTGGGTAAGACGGTTGGAGGGTGGAGAACGGGAAGGATTTTCTGCTGCTCTTGCTGCTGCTGTACCGGTGAGACCATCTGGGTTGGAACCAGGTGCATCTGCAGCTGCCACATCGTCCGTACTCGCCCCTGCAGTTCCGACAATAACGACCCATGGGTGAAAATAATGTCGATACTGCTTGCTGAGAGTGGAGGGGTGTTCCTGCTGCTGTTGCACCGGTGAGACCATCTGGGTCGGAACCTGATGCATCTGCAGCTGCCACATCGCCCCTTCTAGCTCCCGCTGTTTCCACAAGAATGGTTCATGGTTGGCAGTGACAATGGTACTGCTTGCTGACAGTGGAAGGACGTTGCTGCTGCTGCTGCTGCTGCATCAATAGACTGTCTGGATTGGAGCCCTGATACGAGGGGCCTTGCTGCTGCTTCTGTTGCATTGGTTGGACCATCTCTGTTGGAACCCAGAGCATCCGCAGCTGCCAGATCACCCGCCCTCCATGTTCCTGCTGTTCCCACAAGAACGGTTCGTGGTTGACGCTAACGAAGATACGGCCGATAGTCAAATGCGCCTGCTCTCCTTGTACTGCCTCTCCGTCAATCTCGATGGATACACAGGCAAATAGACGGCCAAGATAAATTGGCCGACGGTGTTCGAACGCCTAGAGCTAACGTAGATGTTTTGCGTTGAAAATGTGTGTACGCCCTATTCGTAGTTCCAGTAATGAAAATCAAATATTTGCAGCGCTACTAGCATCATACCAACAAGAATAACGCATGTACGTAGTATTTGTGGTTTTTTTGTTTGCTTACAACCCGTAAATGTGGTAATTGGGGTACTGTACCATGTAAAATTATGGAACTATTGCCACCTGACATCTACCCCAAACCTGGATTTGATCGTTCCATCTGCCAAACACTACAAGCACACCTAACCTAGAGAGTCCAAACCAGAACGTTAACTTTTAGTGGCTCTAACGGTTTGCTGGCCGATCCGACAGCGGCAATATCCCATCATGTCGGCCGCAACACTCTCCTTTGTGCGGCTCGACGTCAAAGCCGGATTTGCGTACCGCTCCCTGCTCCCAGCCTCTTCGTTTACCCCAAAACCCGCGTCCTTTCAACCACGCGTTCCCGCATTCGCGCGATCGTTTAGCCACGTCAGCAGCCGTACGCAAATCAGAAGGGTTGGAGTGGTTGCGATGGCGTCGCCACGGGGACGGGGATCGGGGTCGAATCTGGAGGACGCGGCGCGGCAGCTGGTGAGGGATGCTGGTCGAAAATTTAGGAACTAAGAAGAGAGTTGAATGTAAGATCTGTTACATTGTAACCACATGCGTTGATGCGTGGCGAACGACCTTCTCTTTGTACCCGTATGGCTGGGACTATTGATTAGAGCTTAAAAACCCTTTCCCATCCCTAGCAGCCATGTAGTTTGAGGCGACTCTATTGACGTTTTTTCGTGTTCCTCTCGAACCGCTGGGAACGCATTCCCCCACCAACCATCCCCGTCGTCTCTCACCCCCTCTCCTCCTCCCCGCCACACCCGCTTCGCCCCCTCGTTTCCGTTTTCCAGAATACCCTCACCACCTCCCCCCTTCTCCTGTCCCTCCCCGTTCTCTTCCCGTTTTCCGCCGCCCATACCCGCTCCCCTTTTCCCTCAGACAGCCGTTTAGCATTCTCTCATCCTCTCCTCTCTCTTTCCCCCGCCTTTTGATGTTTCTCTCACGCTGCTGAGACTACATTCTCCCAACCGTAACCCCCATCTTCTCTCCCCTCCACCCTCTTTTTTTCCTATCCCCCACCCACCTCCCCTCCCCCTTTTTCGTCCCCTCCCCTTCCCTCCTCCTCTCCCCTCATCCCACCGCCCACATTCTCTCATCTCCTCTCACCACTCCCCACCTGTTTTACTGAATCTATTTTTTGGGAATTCTGAAAAAAATCAGATTCAGCGAAAGACTCCTGTCGCATGAGAAAATAGCAAAAGAATCTCTATGGGAATTTGCACAAGCATACCCGTGCTTGTTTTTTTCTTTTTTTTTTTCTTTTTTTCTTTTTGGTTACTTGTTTGCCTCATTCCCCCCTCATTCTTCCAGGTGGACGATTTTGTCCGTAGTGGCATGGTGGTGGGGGTGGGGTCAGGCTTTGGCTCCTCTCTCGCTGTCACCCACCTCATCAGCAAAATCCAGAGCGGATCATTGCGAGATATCGTCGCAGTGCCCACGTAAGTTCCCTTGTGCCTCATTGACCATGCTTTGGGGAGATGAAGCATGCCTACATGAAATGGCATTGCTGCCACCCACCTCATCAGCAAGATCCAGAGCGGATCACAGTGAGTTATTGTCGCCCAGGTAAGCTCATTGAGTGGCACTAAAAGCGAGACTGTTTTTCCTGAGCTGTTTTTCCACGTATAAATAAGTCAAAGAACTAAGTTTGTGCTGCATACATAGAATGTTTTGTGACGAATGCTTGCGTCGATGAATGTGCATGGCAGCACGGCAGCAGCAGCAGCGGAGCTCGCGCAAGCAGGAGTCGTGATGTCAACACTCGAGGAGCATCCCAAGGTATTCCTGCCTTTGTGTTTTAAGTCACAGTCAGAGGCCCCGAACATTGAAAACCCTCTCACGTCCAAACGCTCCTCACCCCAAAAGGTCCCTCACATGCACCTTGAGTCATCGTCCCAAGGTAAGTCACTCCTTTTTGAGTCACTTTCAAAGGTACTTCTTTCCGGTTCGAGTCACACTTGAAATTTCTTCATCCCTTCTGAGTCGCATCGGGAGTCAAGAAAACTGTTTTCGAACACATGGATTTAGTTTTTTTTTCCTCACCTAACCGCTTTTCCCCCCTTTTCCCCGATCAGTTTTGCCTTCACAGATGCAGACGTGGTGCGGGACCGAACTCTACACCCTCCCATCTCCCCCCCCCACATCCCCCTACCTGCTACCTCCTCAGCTAGATTTCGCCTTCACAAATGCAGACGTGGTGCATACTCTCCTCTCTGTCATCTACACTCTCCCATTTCCCCCCCACATCCCCCTCCCCCCCCGACCTACCCGCTCGCTCCTCAGCTCGATTTCGCCTTCACAGATGCAGACGTGGTGCAGGAGGGAACACTCTTCTCTATCATTGGGCGTCGCATCCCGACCAAACGGGGTTCGGTGCTCAAAGAGAAGGTGGGTGGGTGCACTTGAGCTTCCACGCACACGCATCTGCCGCTGATTCTTGCTAAGTTTTGGTGGGTTTCTTTCTTTGTTCGTGTTTCTCTTCTAATTTTCTGACTGCGTTCTTATTTCAGTGAGCTTTTGGCTGGTCTCAACTTATATCTTCATTTCTTCCCCTCAATGCGTTGCTTTTGCTCTTCCATGTTCCCTGCCATTTCTGCTGCAGTAGGCCGTGGCTCGGGCAGCTGAAAATTTCGCTGTGATCGTGCCCGAGAAGCACTTTGAAGAGGGCCTGATTGACGGGGAAGTGCCCGTTGAAATCGAGCAGGTGAGGGGCGGAATAAATGGGGGTAAGTCTCGAGGCGCCTCAAAACTCACTATGAGGAGGGTCTGATTGATGGGGAAGTGCCCGTTGAAATCGAGCAGTTGAGGGGCGGAGCGGAATGAATGGGGGAAAGTTTTGAGGGGCGAAATCATCTCCTCAGAACCGGAGTGGTGGAGTGATGATAAGGTTTGAGGGTCGCAACGCTTTCCAAGAGCATGAGGAACACAGCAGAGGCGATTGGCAATCCACACACACATGCTCTTCCACCAGGAGCTTGTGTGTGCGTGGTGCGAGTGTGACGGAGGCCAGGTCTACCGGCACGGCACCACATGCTCCCCAATCCCCACCCCCTTCCCTGTTGCATTCTCCCTTCCACCAGGAGCACTGGCTGGACATAGCAGAGGAGATTGACGATCTGTTTCTTGGAGATGCAGAGGTGTGGTGGAGGCCCACCAGTGGTACTCACTCCCCACCCCCCCCCCCCCCCCTCCTCCCCTGTCACATTCTCTCTCTCACCAGGAGCACTGGTTGGACATAGCAGAGGAGATTAACAACCTGTTCCTGCTGGGAGATGCAGATGTGTGGCGGCGACCCACCAGTGGTACTCACTCCCCAACCCTCCCACCCTCTCCCGCACACATTCCTTTTCACCAGGAGCACTGTCTGGATATAGCAGAGGAGATTGACGACCTGTTCCTCCTGGGAGATGCAGATGTGTGGCGGCGACCCACCCACCAGTGCTACTCACTCCCCAACCCTCCCACCCTCTCCCGCACACATTCCTTTTCACCAGGAGCACTGGCTGGACAAAGCAGAGGAGATTGACGACCTGTTTCTTGGAGATGCAAAGGTGTGGCGGAGGCCTTCCAGTGGCACACCCATTATCTTAAGCTCTTGTTCCCCCCCCTCCTCCCCCTTTTTCCACCAGGAGCACTGGCTGGACATAGCAGAGGAGATTGACGATCTGTTTCTCGGAGATGCAGAGGTGTGGCGGCGACCCACCAGCGGCACGGCAGGGCCGTTGGGAGGGGAGTTCCCTTTGGTCACAGAGAACGGACATTTCGTGTTGGATGTGATTTTCACGACTCCCATCGCTGATATGAGTGAGTGATTGGGTGAGAGGCAGTGTGTATGTGCCTGGCTGTATGGAGACCTAGGAGAGGCACAGCAGGGCCGTTGGGAGGGGAGTTCACGCTGGTCACAGAGAACGGACATTTCGTGTTGGATGTGATTTTCACGACTCCCATCGCTGACATGAGTGAGTGGATGAGAGACACGTGCTTGTATGGGATGGGGGCTGCATAAGCGGGCCGTTGGGAGGGGAGTTCCCTCTGGTCACAGAGAACGGACATTTCGTGTTGGATGTGATTTTCACGATTCCCATCGCTGACATGAGTGAGTGGATGAGAGACACGTGCTTGTATGGGATGGGGGCTGCATAAGCGGGCCGTTGGGAGGGGAGTTCCCTCTGGTCACAGAGAACGGACATTTCGTGTTAGATGTCATTTTCACAACACCGATTGCTGATATGAGTGAGTGATTGGGCAGAAGGCATTGTGTGTATGTGTCAAAATGTATGGAGGGAGGCCTGCCAGCGGCACAGCAGGACCGTTGGGAGGGGAGTTCCCTTTGGTGGCTGAGGGCGTCATTTTCACGACCCCCTCCGCTGATATGAGTGAGTGACTGAAAGGAAGGCATTGTGTGTATGTGTCGGGTTGTTTGCTATCTTAGCAGTGGCACAGCAGGGCCGTTGGGAAGTTCCCTCTGGGGATTGAAGGCAGGGATTTCGTCTTGGACGCGATTTTGAAGACAAAATGTTTGCCATTTTTTAAATTACGCTTCTCCCTGTTCCGTGTATCAACCTGACAGGGGATGTTGCTCGCCAGTTAGAGTCTGTGCCGGGAGTCGCAGCACACGGCATTCTCCTTGACGAAGCGTATGTATATTCGCCCTAGCTCTCTGTGTGTATTCTCAATTGTCATGGCCGTTCGAGCGTTGTATGTTTCATATGTTTTCACATTGTCCTCATCTCCAGCGTTGTCAGACCGTGTTCATGATTCCGCAAGATAATGTTCGTTTTCAGGTATGCTGCATCGGTGGCGACCGCGGAGGGAGTGAAAATCCGGACATCAATATTCAAGGAATCTTTTACACCTTCCGAGTCTTGAGAAACGCATTGACATGTCAAGAAGACCTATCACCTTGAGTATTTAGCTCATAAGGATGTGCTGCTGAAGTCGTATGAAACATAGCTGAACCACTTGACGCTGTACTCCTTATTGTGTAGGTCCGTGGTCGTCAGCGAGAATCTCGCATCTCGAGGGCTCATTTCTGAACTCACCGGAAGTCGAGAGAATTTCTCCAGTGGCCAATCGGGTGATTCATTCTCTCTCGGGGGGCCTCGATTTACTCGAGTGGCCACGAAATTGGGTGATAATTACTCGAGTGGCCACGCCAGGGGATTCCTGCTCGCTTTTTTTTCACCGGCGAATTACCCTATGGGGATTTGTAGCCCTGAAATTCCTTATTCGTGCGAGTGGTATTCCTAGGTAGTGTTCCGTTCTGTTCTGCAACTTAAAATTTCGCCAGGCTCACGGACGCGAAAGTGGCCCGCCCACTGTACAAGAAACTGACCAACAGTACATTGACCGGTCAGTTTCGGCCAAATGCGCGACCAATGAGCGCGCAGTCCATCTAATTAACATCCAATCAGCGATCAAGTATATGACTTCGTGATCATATACTGCATTTCACACGAAACGAACCGACACAGCAAAACGACCGCGCTCGATTGGTCAGGAGATAGAGTTGTGCATTTGTTGCCACTGCGCGTCTAATCAGGCGCAAGATTTACGGATTGCCGATCATATTTGAACGCGTTCATTAAACACAATGTACTATATGGCTGTATGGGATTTAAGACTATGTTTTATATGCACCCTAAGCACACAAACTTGGAATGCGCACTAATATTTGTTAGTGTGCGGTCCTATTTTATATATGGTTGCCATTTCATTTGGACGGGGATAATTGGACGCTCAATGGCAAAGCATATCCTGAGATTAAAACAAACCAGTCACGCGCGGTAATTTAGTTTATCGCGAATTGATGGCCGATCATTTCGGTATATGATGGGGAATTCAATGATGGCGCCTGATTGGACGCTCAATGGCAACATATGCACCGCGCATGTTTTTTACGTATCATGCGCGTGCATTAGGGGTGTGGCTGTTCGCTTCGGGTCTATAGGATTATATGATCGAGAAGTTGTATGCTCGATCGCTGATTCGTTCGGAATTTGATGGACCGCGAGCTCATTGGTCGCGCATTTGGCCGAAACTGACCTGTTAATGTACTGTTGGTCAGTTTCTTGTACAGTGGGCGGGCCACTTTCGCGTCCGTGAGCCTGGCGAAATTTTAAGTTGCGGAACAGAACGGAACACTACCTAGGAATACCACTCGCACGAATAAGGAATTTCGAGGCTACAAATCTCCATAGGGTAATTCGCCGGTGAAAAAAAAGCGAGCAGGAATCCCCTGACGTGGCCACTCGAGTAATTATCACCCAATTTCGTGGCCACTCGAGTAAATCGAGGCCCCCCGAGAGAGAATGAATCACCCGATTGGCCACTGGAGAAATTCTCTCCCGGAAGTCCATCCGACAAGTTTCATTTTGAAGTGCGTGTCAGAGGGAACCCTGCTGTGCTGTCCGTTCTCACAGATCGAATTCTGACAATTCCCCCAAGTGGCATGTGACACTGCACTCCCACAGGAGGACGAACGGGCTCTCGGGCGCTCTCACGCGTTGTGGTATTACAACACCTCGGAAATTCCGCCACAACAGCAGCAGGCTTTCCCCACAAGCCAAGAATGCTTCGAGAGAACAGCAGGCAGCAGCAATTCCTAGGGTGCGTCAGGGAGAAACTAATCTCCTAGGCTTACCAGGCAAAATCCGTCGTTCGTGGCCAAGCCTCGCTCTAATGTCCTTGAACCGCACACGCAGCGCAACTCTTTTGATTGTGCTTGTATCTAAGCAGGAGAAAATAACCCCACATTGTCGAGTTTTCACGGCACCCGTGGCTGCGTTCCGTAGTAGCTGAATGTTGCTGGAGGGGTTAAAAAAACTCAATGCAGTAATTTATCGGGTGCCTCTCAATATTAACTTATCTTGCCTGCCATATACTAGTGGGTCATGGCGATGAATGCACCCAGTGACGAGTCACGCGAGCTTGAAGATCGCCACGTGGCAGTCTCGCTGGCATCGCATTCGGAGACGTCGTCGCTGACGGACCCCCTGCTGACGCGTCGCGAGGTAATGCGATGCGCATTACGGCATAACAGTGGAATGCCATTCATTGCCGCTTTTGAGAGTTCTTTAAAGTGCAGTGCATTACGGAATAACAGTGGAATACCATTCATTGCCGCTTTCGAGAATTCTTAAAAGTGCAGTGGAATGCCATTCATTGCCCTGATAGTTGTGGGGGTCCGGTAGTGAATGGAGCGAGAGGAGGAGGCGGCTGGGGGGGAGGGGAAGAGGGAGAGGGGTCTGCGTGCATGACGTCCTGCATTTCCCGTTCTTCTGCTAATGTATATCCGAGAATGTTGGCGTCGCCGTTTTTATCCGCGCTTGATTGTCATCTGTCTTTTCCGTTGTGTGTTTCATTCTTTGAATAATCTCTCGAGCCTCTTAGCAGTGTATGCCATTCAATAGTTTCTTTAGAGGGGTTACATGTACTCTTTTTTGCATAAGCTTATCTCTATAATGGTTCTTGTTGGAAACCTTACATAGCAACTTTTATTTTTTTTGCCACAGATTACTTCTTTCAGAACAAGTTCTTGTCCTTGCCGCATCCCCCTTGCATTACAGCCCCCTGCTCGCGCTGCTCGGAAGGGCCCCTTGCTGCTCGTCGTCTCCCTCTGTGCCTGCCTGCTCGCCACGCTGCTGCTGTCCCGCTCCATCCTGCTGTGCCCTCACTCCCTTTCCTTCACCATCTTTCCCTCTTTCTCTCTCCCCTCCCCAACCACCCCCTTCTCCCCCTCCATTTCAGCCCTCCCCTCGCTCTGCTCGGAAGGTGCCCTTTCTCCTCCTCGTCTCCCTCTGTGCCTGCCTGCTCGCCACGCTGCTGCTGCCCCGCTCCAGCCTGCTCCGCCCACACAGTCACGACCGCCCACCTATGCAGCCGATTCCGCTGCTCCCGCCACACATGCAGATACCAGCAGCCATGCAATCGCTTTCACCAAATAGTAGCAGCAGCAGCAGCAGCAGCGAGCACGAGAACAGCAGCAGCGAGCACGGGAACAGCAGCATCATTGCGCCTGTTCGCTTCTTTGCGTTTGGAGACTGGGGAAGGAACGGCACGTTCAACCAGTCGCTCATTGCCACGCAGGTACCAGCACAGCTAAGCAAGCATACAGCAAGAGGGGCATAGCAAGGGGATGAGATGAGCAACCACATTACAGGCTATCGAAGGATTGGGGAAAGAACGGCACGTTCAACCAGTCTCTCATTGCCACGCAGGTACTGCCACTGCAAAGAATGCATGCAGCAAGAATCATGGCAAAGGCTGCAGCAAAGAAATCGTAGCAAGGAGGGGATGAGATGATGAGCAAGCACATGACATGCTAGCAAGGGACTGGGGAAGGAATGGCACGTTCAACCAGTCCCCATCTCCACATCTCCCATCCGTGCCAAGCCAACCAGATGGGCCTGGTCGGAGCCCACATGCACCCCCAGTTCGTGGTCACTCTGGGAGACACTTTCCTCGAGCCCGGCCTTTCAGGCGTCAATGCGAAGCCAACCACCTTTGTGCCCAACCCCTTGCCTCAACTCTTTGTCTTCCTGCCACCCAGATGGGCCTGGTCGGAGCCCACATGCACCCCCAGTTCGTGGTCTCTCTGGGAGACAACTTCCTCGAGCTCGGCCTGCCAGACGTGAATGCGCCACAGTTCGCCCAGTCCTTCACCAACATCTACACCCACCGCAGCTTGCAGATCCCCTGGTATGCAGGTGAGCCGCTTATCTGTGGGTAGGCCCACCCGCATGTGCCGGTGAGACTTTATGCGTCGTTTAGTGTGAGTGTTTCCCCCTAGTTCATTCAGCCTTCCAGAGCTGAATGCTCCCCAGTTCGCCCAGTCCTTCACCAACATCTACACCCACCGCAGCCTGCAGATCCCCTGGTATGCAGGTAAGCCAGCATGTATGTACTGGTAACCCCGTACGTGCTGGTGAGTGAGGGTGCTCGGCCTGCCAGACGTCAATGCGCCACAGTTCGCCCAGTCCTTTACGAATATCTACACCCACCGCAGCCTGCAGATCCCCTGGCATGCAGGTGAGCCCGCAAGTGCTTGTGAGCCTGCGCGTGCCAGTAAGACTGTATGTGCCGTTTGGTGTGAGTGTGTGCCTGCATGTCTCCCAGACCTCAATGCCCCCCAGTTCGCGGACTCGCACAGAAGCTGCACCCATCTCTGCCCATGTGCGACCCTTCCTTTTCTCCCTCCCCCTACCCTCTGGCTTCTCTGTTTCCCTCCCCCCCTGTTCACTAATAGTCCTGGGAAACCATGACTATTATGGGAACATGTTAGCCCAGCCACCTAGCACTGCCCATGTGACCCTTCCCCTTCCCCCCTCCCCGCCTCCTCTCGTTTCTCTGTTTCCTTCTTCCCTTATCCGCCAGTCCTGGGAAACCATTACTACTACGGGGAACGTGCTCGCTCAGCTGCATCCAGCCCTGGCCTATCGCCAACATCCATCCCCCTGCCTTGTCCGCATTCCTTCTTCCCTGTTTCGCTGTTCCCCTGTTCTCCTTCCCTACCCGCCCCTTTATCTCCCGACCTGGGAAACCATAACTACTACGGGAACGTGCTAGCCCAGCTGCACCCAGCACTGGCCATGTGTGGCCCTTCCTTTTTCCCTGATCCTTCTTCTTCTCCTTCTCCTTCTCCTTCTCTGTTTACTCTTCCCATGTTCACTGCCAGTTCTGGGAAACCATGACTACTATGGGAATGTGCTAGCCCAGCTGCACCCAGCACTGGCCAATCGCGACCCTCGGTGGACCTGCCGTCGCAGCATGGCCCTCTCGCTCCCTATCTGCGCCGAGATGGATGAACAGAGCGTTGACCACGTTGACCCCGTTGACTCAGCTGGTCAGGGCGTTGACCGTGTTGACTCTGGAGGAGGACAGGGCGTTGACTGCGTTGACTTTGTTGACCTGTTTCTGTACGACTCAATGCCGCTGATCCCCGCATACCGGCACAAGGAGGGCCGGCGGGTGGACTGGCGGGGCCTCAACACGGGCAACTGGAGCCGGCAGGAGGAGGCACAGCTGCAGGTGAGGGGCTGACTGCATTGACTGTGTTGACTTTGTTGACCTGTTTCACAAGGAGGGCCGGCGGGAGGACTGGCGGGGCCTCAACATGGGCAACTGGAGCCGCCAGGAGGAGGCACAGCTGCAGGTGAGGGGCGGAAGTAGTGCTGTTTGGGCAGGAGGAGGAGGGTGGAATGGGGGTAGAAAAGGGTAGGCGGGTGGACTGAGGGGTGGTGGAATGGAGGGGCCTCAACACGGGCAACTGGAGCAGGCAGGAGGAGGCACAGCTGCAGGTGCGGGAGAGGAGGGATGTTGCATTGACTGCGACTCACGCACATACACGAGCGCGCGCGCGCGCGCACACACACACACACACGATATCTGGTGTGCATTCATGCATGAGGCGCACATATGCACAGATCCACGAGTCACCCAAGCATTTTCTTTCGCTCTTTCCCCTGTGTGGCAGGAGCTGGAGGGGTGGCTGAGCAACTCGCAGGCGCGGTGGAAGGTGGTGGAAGGTGGTGGGATGTGGACATTCACACATCCACACACATACACAGACGCACAGACCTGCGTACTCATGCAAGCATTCCTCGCTCTTCGTTCGCTCCCCTGTGTGGCAGGAGCTGGAGGGGTGGCTGAGCAACTCGCAGGCGCGGTGGAAGGTGGTGGGGGCGCACCACCCGGTGTTCAGCTATGGCAAGCATGGGGACCAGCCCGAGATGGTGGAAAGGATTAAGCCCCTGTTAGAGGTGAGGTTGAGGCCTGAAAGGGTAGTCTATGTATAGTCATGTTGTGTGAATTGGTGGTCTTTCTGTCCTGTACCCACACATTTGCTCCACTGTTTTAGCTTCTAACTTTCCATGTGTTATACAAGCACCTGGGTGAGTTGAACCCATTCTCAGATCCATTCAATGCAGGAGAGAGTTTGTGCCGAGTGTATTACTTCTGTGGGCTCACACATGGCACACGTGTGTCTCCAAGAGCAAGCATTCAATATTGATTCCCGCCCCAACTCCCCTTACGGCATTCCTATTGGTGTGTGACACTATCAGAAGTACGGTGTAGACGTGTACATCAACGGTCACGATCACAACATGCAGCACATAAAAAAGGATGAGAGGTGAGCCCCCCATTCAATTCCGAGCCCTGAACCCCATCACGGGCTATAATCACTGATCTGGACCTTCGTCTTCCAGCTGTTAGCCCCGTGCCTGGGTACTTATAGCGTGCCCTTTTTTGGCACATGAATTCATTGTCTCTTTTGTTGGGAACAATAAGTCTTAAGCGCCTCTGTCGTGTCGAAACTCAGAACACAAAGTGAAGCAGTCCAAATCGAAGCATCGAGAGTCAACCCTCGGAGGTTAGGGTAACCGCCTGGAGGTTACGCGAAGGTCAAAGGTGAGCGACCTTTGACTTGACCAATACAGCGCGACAGCAAGGACACACAACTGACTCGACATTGAGCAGTTGCCCGAGTCGCATTGTATCGAATCGCAACAGCAAGGTAGTTTAATTATATCTATTCGTATTCCTTGTACTCTTATATAAAGCCTTGTATTTGCCTGTTTTTAATCAACTTACTTTGCCCTCACATACTAGCGCAAGGTGGTTCAAGGACCTTTCATTCAACGCTTCCGCTATTACATCATCCTACTCAGACTTTAACTCTACAAAGATCCTAGGGCCCTCCAGCCCAACATCTTTCTCTAGTTCTTATCCTAGAGTGCCCTAAAACATTCACCTTTGTTTCTCCTATCGACTTTCGCCCCTCTGTCTCCTATCTGATGTCTCCCGTGATTCAGTCCCGTTCACTATTTCACGGTGGGTGGGGGATCCAAGGCGTGGCGAGGCGATGCTCCCCCTGTCGCCCCAGGCCTGCGGTTCTTCTTTCCTGGGCAGGGCTTCAGTTCTCTGGAGGTTTCCAGGAACTCACTGACCGTTAACTTTTATGGTGTTTTTGGAGAGCTCATGTACTCCACCACGCTCAACAAATGATTGTCTCAATGGTTGATGGGTGCTGTGATAGATGCACAATGGACATATATTTATGAATCAAGCGTGTGATTGTTGCATGTGTGTTTTCTTTTCAGGAGGACCCCTCCCATGTTTACCCTGGGCTTTTTAAGACATTGCTCATTAGTGTAGGCAATTACTTTGGGTGCATATTTTGTAGAATGCTTTCAGCTTCGATAATGTCATTTTTTTGTCGCGAATGTAAAGAGTAAGCGATTGCTCTAGTGGTAATCGCACCATCCCCCAAGCGAGACATTTACGAAGCCCACCAGCCCAGATGAAGCGCCTCGTCTGGTCTGGACATTTCTCCAAAACCAGACCGAGCCTCACTCCCGAGCCTTTCCCTTGCACGGCACGGTTCCCCTCAAAAGCTGCGTCTGACTAGCCCGAACCACGAACAGGTTGTGTCTGGGGGTGTCAGTCTGCCGTTTCTCGACACGCATACCTGGAACTCCTAGGAACACGCTCCGCCTCCTGACGGCGTACTCGTGCTGATGAGTCAATTTGGTTGAAGTTGCCGCAATCAACCACGCTGAAATAAGGTCTACCGCACCATACCATGCCTCACCTCTCTCAAACATTATTCGCAAGTTTGGTTCAGCCGAACCACGGCTTGGGAAAGTGGCATCCATCGAAGTTCCCACAGTAAAAACGGAGCCAGTGATTTCCACCCAAGCTCGAGCTCGCCAATACTTGCGAGCAGTGGCGACCCAGTTCACTAACGCGTTATCCTATTAGGGACGACATAGACAAGATTAGCTGATTGGGTCCCTTGTGCGATACGAAGAAACTGATGCTGCCTGAGTCCTAAACTAAGCTTCATAAGGATTTTTTTGGCGGTGTAGTGCGACATGAAGTAGATGAATATCATTAATTGCGCAGTCCCAGATAATCGGCTGTCAAACGGAACCAGCTAAATCTTACAGTCGAAAGCTTCTCAGTTCCCAAGTTGTCATTGCTTGTCCCCTGTACGGTTCTGTGGACTGCGAGGTCGAGGGTTCGATACATTCGTGTAGCAGGAATGGCAAAAGCGAGTACGGATCCGTTTGACAAGATGTTGCAACGAAGCCATCGCGAAAGTGTGAGGCCCGAAAAGTTGCGGAATAGCAACTTCAAAGTTGCTTTTCCGCAACTTTGGTTTCGCAAGAAAAAAGTCTAGGCCAAAGGCTTCTGTGGCGGGGTGACTTTCGAAGTTGCGGAAAAGTGACGACAAAGCGACAAAAAAATGGCCATATTGCAACCACACGACACAACTAAAAGGTGACATCTGATGTGACATTTGTCTGAAGGACTTGGGCTTTAAGTCCCTTTTGCCACCCCTTTGCCAAATGGACGCCAGAACGCCACGTGCGTAGATATTTCCTGCCAGCTGTCAAGGTGAATAGTGCAGCTACAAATGCCACGTGGACCAATCAGTTTTCGGGATGCATATTGGCGCACGCAATATAATTTGTGGAGACAGTTGAGTTCAGCATGTACATATAGAAATTTGTGTTACTATAAGTACATTTTTATACAATAGACCTGACAAAACGCCCTAATACCATAATCAGCATGATCTGGCACAACTAAATAATCTAACTGCAGGTACTTCAACAGTATCAAAACATTTACGCCCTTTCAACCACTTGAGCCTGGAGTTCTGAAACACACGTAAAATCAGAAACACAATCCAAGACAGGGAGTAGTACCTGCAAAAACTGATGTTAGCCAGGCGAGAACAAATGTAGTAGTAGACATACCTGCGGCCACTTACCTGTTTGCCATAGTGGACTACGAATGCTTGTGCCGTTTGATAAGTCAACATGTTTACGAAATACATCGACATTAATACAAGGTCGCGCAAATGAGGAGCGCACCACAAGACGTTAAGAAAATACAGATCTGCACACAAAGCGACATAATTCGACCAAGAGAGAACGCACTCCCAGCGTTGCCCTCCATTCCGTGCACAGCACGGTACGTTATGAGTTAGGCAAAAAAAAAAAAAAGGAGAAACACGGTGTCGACGTACCGATAAAGGACCGTCTCAGTGACTCATTTACACCCGTTGTACAGTTGTAAAACGGCTCCCGACCTCCAGTTGAGTTTGGACTGCAACCTGGACAATGGCACAAGGAGGAAAAAAAAAAACGACGCAATAAGACTTTAGGTTAAAACGAGAATACTTAGGGAAAACGGATCTGATTGTGGCAGAAAAGATTGATACACAGAAGAGCAGCGTGCCTAGTAACTAGAGAAAAACGTTAAGTTTTGAGAAGAACAAGAGCAGAAAATGAGACACAAAGCTAGGAGGAGGTAGAAGAAGGGGTTGGTTGGGAGCACATTCGAGAGGTTCTAGGTTCAGAGCTCTGACGTGGAGATGAGGAATCATGCTGATTGGTGGGCTTGTCAGAACATTGTAGCTTACTCATTTCTGTAGGCTATAGTGGGGTATCCCATAGGGGGTACAACCCAATTAGGGTTTCATATTTGTACCCACTTCATTTCATAGTCATTCATTCTCGTTCTAACTTTCTCAGGGCTCAGGTTTGTTTCCCACATCGAATGGTTCAGAACCACAAGATGTGTATCTGATTCCTGAATCAGTAGAGTTTTGGTTGGCGACGTTACCACGAAACACAGTGGCGTGTGACATTCGCGCTGCTTGTTGATTGGTAGTTTCAATTTCAGCTCGGAGAAATTTCGGTCACACAAGTAACATTTCGTCAGCTGTGCGAAATTGCTGCCAACCTTAACTTCCCAAACCGCACTGTAACGCTCTTTAACACGCGAGACACAAGTGGGTGTGAACATTTGAGGGGACTCTTACTACGTTGTGGCGGAGTTCCGAGTGCGTTTGCCCCATGATTCGAGGCCTTGGATCCGTGTGCTCCGGATTCCGAAGGGCTTGGGCGCAAGGCTCCGCCGCATACGACAAGGCCAGCCGCTCACAATTCCGTGCCCACCTGACCGTGAAAGATGTGTTCCAACCAACCTGCCCGTGACCCTTTGTGCCAGTGATTTCATGGGTATGACATTTTTCGCCATCGTAACTCTTTGGCCGACAAGTGACGACCGCCGGTCGCATGGCCGGATGCGACCAACTTGTATTTTCTGCGTGGTTATATGCTTTAACTCGGTTTTTTTTAATGGCTAGAGCCTTAAAGCTGCAGCAGGTGCGTTCCTTTATACCATTGATTTTATGTGTTTTATGAATAACATGAGTGCAAGTGTAGCATCCTACGTTTGCTCATTGTGTTTTATAGTCATTGTTTACCAAACTGTAGGTGTTCTGCACACGTCGCCATGGCAAGAGCCAATAAGCGTCGTGTAGGGAACTTTATTTTTTGGCGAGAGAATCATCCAGCCCAGGGTTGGATGACCAGATCTGGACACGGGCTTCTGTGTGTGTGGTGTATGGGTATGAATGGATGTTTTCGTGCTCACTTGCTCCTTTTCATTTGCATTTCATGCTCCGCAAGCTCTTTGAGATCTTTTCATCCAGCACCTGTTAGTCCACCAGCGTAGTCTTTTAAGCCTGCTTGGCCCACTGGCAGAACATTGGCGTCCTCGACGTAGTGACGTAGGTCGTATAGAGTGGGTTTTTTTATTTTGGGTCAGCTCGGTTAGGATAACTGCAGTCACACTTGTTAGGTCGCTTATTTAGGCGCAGATTTGTGTGGTAGAATATTTTGTCGGTAGAACTGTTTGTATTTGCCCGGAACAATTGTCGTAGGTCGCCCGCTCTTGTAGCCGGACATCTTCGACGTTAGGCTTGTTTACTGGTAGAAGTATTCGCTCCCAATCTATAATATCGTCGAACCCACGAAAGTTATGTACAAGCATAAGGGTTCCGTAGATGATTATATCCGTATAATGGTAGGAACTTATTTTCGTTGTTTCGTTGTAGAGAATTAAAGCGGTAGAACAAAAGGTGACAGAGCTATACGTTACGGGACAGTCAGGCGACCCTGTATACGTAAGTGATAGGCGGTGTTCGAAGACCAATGTGCATACGCCTGAAGCACAGACTCTCTTACGGCTTCTGCGCTTAGCCCACTAAGCATTCTGCCTATGTTATCTGCACACTTGCGAATCGTTACCACCTACCGCGGCTGACACCATCCGATTCTTTCGTCTAGTCTCGGTTGCTAGGTAATAAATTAGGAATCTGTGAATGGCCGACAGCTCGGTCCACTCTCGCCCCATGGCAGCCCAGGGCGCAGAGGATGGAGAAGAAGACCTGGAGGACGATGAAAATACTGACCAAGACTACGCACAGGATCGCGAGAACGATAGCGAGTTTGAGGCGACCGAGGAGGATTTGTTCCAGGGTGGTGTCTACGAACCATCCGTCCGGATTCAAGTCCAGGGGAGTGTTGAAGGGAGTGAAGGGCCGGGAGGCGATGGAGTGCGCCCACGACCCGGTGCGCCCGAAGAACGGTACGAGGAGGATGGAGATCACTCTGACGCAGAAGAGGAGGGAGAATCATCGCCCGGACGACGACGACCTCCCGATTCATGTCGAGCAGTCTGCGGCCCCCGGAAATGTGCAGCGGCAGACCGACGTTGCGGAAAAGGAGAGCAGGATCCGGCGTTCAACAATCCCGCTTTGACTGATAGAGGCCGGCACGAGAAGGCACTATTGTTTCCACTTTTTACACTTCAAGTGGTGGGTGATAATCTTCATGGCAACTATGGTAGATGTCCCAGTGGCAGATAGGCTGGCTCCCTCTCTGCACGACGAGGTTGGGTTTCATATGAGCAATAACTTGGGAAATGATGGGTGGTCGTGCAGCTCTGACGAGTGGCAGATTCATCTGCACGGGCCGCGAGTCACGGAATGGAGGCTCGGCCGATACATCGAGTATCTCTTCTGCGAAACTGACGAGAAGGCAAAGTTTTTGCGTGGAAAAATGCGGCCAGACGTCGAGAAATATGTGGGGAAGGAGGCAAAGGGGTGCACAGCTTCAATGATCAAGGCAAAGATGAACGCAATGGGATGCCTGGCCAGATGCGAGGCGAGGCTCTGCGGCTTCTCCATCACACCGACCAAGGACTGGATCAAGGATGCTCGGGATTATTTCAAAGTCAAGCTGAAGGATCTGAACGACGAGCAAGTCGCGTGAGTAACATATACGTGTGCTTTCTGTTTGTGTGACTCTTGTTCTACATGGTTTACATAATTACTGTGCTATTCTATGCAGGGATGGTCGAGATCAAACCCGTGGATCAATTGGTGATTGCTATACGGGTAGCCAGTATAGGACGCTGCATCTTACTGTTCTGCGAAAAGAGCTCCTAGAGATCTGGTGGCGGACGCCTCCGTCACAAATCTCGCTTCCTCTCTGGAAGGCTCTGCAAGTCCCGGTTATGATGCACCTCGGACACCAATTTCTCGGAAGAGGGTGCAGCATTCGAAAGATTCGCCTTGGGAACCTGTTTGTCCGCATGACGCGGAGCACATCACACCTCGACGACTATCTTGACGTTTTCGTACTCGTCGTTGTTTCCAGGAAGTCGAAGACCAACCCCAACAACAAGCTGAGTCATCAGTTTCTTGCAAGGCATAGGGACTGGCGGCTCTGCGGAATGGGCCATGTGTTCCTGTGGCCTCATTTCATCTACGACCTGGTTCCTCTGCGCTACGGCCCTGGTATCGTCGAGCCTCTCGACTTTTCTGAACCGATCTTGTGGACTAAAGCGCACCTCTTCTTTTCTTTGAAGAAGGGCGACCAGGGAAAGCAGAAGCAAGACGAGATGCACTACAAAACGCATAACACCTGGATTAAGTGGGCCATGACGAAGGCGAGATGGATTCTGAGCAAGGTGACACATGCATTCCGTAGATCCGGAGCGCAACAACTCCATGACGACGGTTGCTCCGACAACGATATCGGCACTCTGGGCGGATGGGCGCAGGGGGAGTTGCGGAGGTGTTATGTGTTCGGCATTCCGTTCAAGCCGGTTTGGCTGCTCGCAGGATTCAGCGGGGATCGTGGAGACTACTACATCAGCAGAGCCCGTGCCAAGCTTCCGCGGCATAAGGATAAGGAGAAGGATGAGTGGTTGCAGCTCTTGGATCTCTTAAGGCTTCACATTTTCCCCTGGGTCGAAGAGGGTTGGAAGAAGGTACGTGCTAGTGTACAGTCTTCGCGTTCGTAGCATAATTTTGATACGCAATTATGAACCGTCGCATTTCTCCTGCATACTCGTCCCGTCAGGTCGAAGAATGGAACGCTGCGCAGTCCGATCCGCTCAAGAGGCACTATGCGGGGGCGAGGTTCCTTGAGACCCTCGCGAGCATCGGACGCCTCGTTGTTGCACACGATCTGGCTATGATGTGGGCGTTCTGCCATTAGCACGGCGTGAGAAACCCGCCGTGCAATTGCGAGAGGCATCCATATGTGCAGATGAGCCCCTTGTGCAACCACCCGCTGTTCCAAAAGTGGGCGTACCTGGTCGCTATCTCTCACTTCCAGGGCGAGAAGCTTCGGGCAACCGGCCAAACCACCGCCAAAGCAGTAAGTGCCTGCTATTAGTGGTAGAGAGAGGGAGTTATTCGTTCATGCTGAGTTCTGCCGTGTTGGTTTCTGCAGGACGCTATCTTTCGCACGGCCACAGAAGAGAAGATGCAGAAGATGCACCTCACCGCCAATATGCTCAGGGAGGAGCTTGGGATTTTGAGAGGACGTGAAATGCAGTTGGCGATGGAGAACGCTGAACTGAGGGAGAAACTCGCCGCTGAGCGAGATGACAAGGCTCGGGTCATTGCAGAGTTCGAAGCATACAAGAGGTCTGTTGCGGCCAGGGATGTCGCGGCAAACACCTATGCAGAGATCGACGGATCGTCGAAGAGCGCGGGAACAGGAGCAAAGCAGGCAATGGGCGCATCCAAAGCACCAGTTGCCGTGGAAGATTTCTTCGTCGTGGTCGTTGTGTCTTGGCGCGAAGCCACCACTATTGCTGCAGCCTGGAAAGTGTGGGTGCAGCCAAGCCTCATCATGGGCGGCAGGTCACTGCGCGAAGTCTTTGCAGAGTTCGACCGGTATAAGAAGAAGGACAAAAATTCCAGCTTCATCACCGCATATTCCCGGTTTGCTTACAAAGGTACGCCCGGGATGGCTGTGGGTGCATGCGAGCGAAAGATGCATCGCGCGCATCGTGTCATGGTTTCCGTGGAGACGCTAAGAAAAGACAGCTCCGAGGCGGCGACCGCAACGGCCATTAAGCTGCTGGACGAGGTTTTACTCGTGTGCAACTTCACGGAATTCACCAACGGCCTGGCGGTGCTGCATGAGACTCCGCCCATCAAGAAACAGAAGACCGGTTCGTCGACGGAAAAGAGGACCGTCAACGACTTGGCGCAACGCAGAGTGGGCTGGCTGTTAGTCAAGAAGGGCCTTCGCGACCAGGAGTGGGCAAGTTCGCTGTTTGGGGATGATGAGTGGGAGGAGATCCACAAGGAACACATGGCGCAGGAGAAGGCGGAAGAGGAGAAACAACGAACCGCTGCTGCGAAGAAGGCGGAACGGGAAAAGGCGAAGGGCGAAGCGTCGAAACGCTAGGAGCAGAAATGAGGGGGCATGTACCTTAAGGGTGGGGCGGTTTAGTTATTTGGGTACTTCATTCCGGTTGTACTGAATATGCAGTACAGGCACTTGTATGTCTCTGTAGAAGCCCGATTTGGGGTCTGTATGCCACCTTCTTCCTTGGACGCGCTGTTTTCGTAGAATGTTTTTCTGGTCTATGCATTGAAGCACACATCGATGTTATACACCCGGTGAAGTTCTGTATACGTTTTGGTATGCATAGGAATACCGTATATGCCTCTTAACAAGGTGCTCCCCAAGACAAGATGTTATGCGATTGTTTAGCCCCATACTTCTACCTCCTCGTAGAAGGCGAGTATTAATGTTGGATTAAGTGTCGTAGAAGGCCGTCCTGCCGTCAATGATTTATTCGGCTGACCCTCCCTTTGATGGCGAGTTCTATCGGCTGCATTGCCAACTCCATACGCGCCCTACAATTTTCGCGAGTGTAGTGAAGGTTTGCATAGCAAAAATACATCTCTCATTGTATTGTATACAACAACACATATATTTATACACGGTGAAAAAAAAAAACGGAAAGGACAATCTATTTCTACTGCGGTACTAACAAGACCTCCAAAGAACCCGTCTGCCTCTATCACTCCTGGCCGCCAGCGCCGGTGTTCTCCTCCGTCGACGCCTCCTTCGTCGCGTTCTTTTTCGCGGACAATTTCTTGGTTTTCTTCTCCTTATCCGCCCCTGTTGTCGTATCCCGGCCGCCCAACTTCTTCTGCAGGACTCCGAGGCAGACGCCCTGGTGCTGGTGAAGGCCTCTTGATGCCATGCTGCATAGGCACCAAGAGGTCACCACCTTTGCCACCACCCTCGTCATCCTCTTCGTATCCCCGGCCGCTCGCGACTCTGCCGGAAGCGCTTTCAGCAGCGCATCCGACAGGGGAAGAATCCACGCTTCCTTGTCATGCTCCTAATCCTTGACCGACCTCATCGCCTCAACCGCAACGCAAGCAACCGAGGCTGCAAGCGTCGCAAGGGCATCGAGGACGGCAGAGGACACATCGGCCGCAGAAGATGACGAGGCAGCCGACGAGGCGGTGGCAGTAGTGGACGATCTGGCAGCAGAAGATGCTATGGCGGTAGAAGTTCCATGTGCAGCTGTTGTTGCGCCCGTCTCCCACTGGGTCTGGTCCACATTCGTGGATGCGGCCCACATTACAGACAACGTGGCGGCAAGTCCGACTGCGTGTTCTTCCGTCGAATAGCCGTTTTCACCCTCCACGCCTCCCACCATCTTCTGCCACGCAGTTATTCCGACACCAGCGCAGGCAGCAACCTGAAAGCCATCCCCCTGCTGCTGCCGAAGAGCCGTGTTGGTTTGAACAAGTGAGAATCTGCACAAGACACCAGTGTCGCAAGATCAGAACCATCGAACTTCGCGGGTGTGATTCCTTGTGCGCCTCTGATTCCTTGTGAGGTTTGTCCATCACATAAACACTCACCCGTCCGGTTTGTCCAGGTGGAGTTCGTTGATGACGCTCCACACCCCTGTTGGAAGCCACGTTGTGAAGTCGAGGTCTTCCCGCCACTTGTTAATACGGTTTGGATTCATGCCGTATGCCTGCATGTCAATATCCGGGAAGTAGAACTTCCAGAAGACTGCGACTGTGTATGCCCTCTCCCACACCGTTTTGTGAGAGCCGAGGTTCCGCTTCCGGCCGCCGACGGTCTGCTCAGACGTCCACTTCTGCAAAGCTCCCTCGCCCCGTTGAGAGAACCCGCTTCCCCTGAACGGCAGGCAGACACCCAAAGTCTTACCCTTGTTGTCCACTACGGCGTTTTTCCTGTTGTCACACTTTTCGATCTTCATCCCCTTCTTTTCCCCTGGGATTATCGGTATCAACTCCTGTACACCAGCTGCACGCCGTCTCTTAGCCGCATGACCCTCCGGCTCCCTGTCCTCCTGTCTAGGCTGCCTCCTGGACACCTCTACGTTCTGTTCGGGAACAATAGCCACGCCCTCTGCTACATTCGCCTCCCCGCTCTCAATCAACAGCAAACTCCCCAGGCCCTCAGCTATTTCCTCCTCGACTCCCTTCCAGGTCCCCTCCCCATGCATGGTCAAATCCTCCTCTTCCATTTCCCTTGCCAATCGTTCCGTCTCTTCAGCCATCGCCTTTGCCTTTGCCTCCAGTTGCCGCTGCTGTTCCGCGAAGGATGCAAGTCTGGCCCTCTTCTCTGCTCGGCACTGCTTCGCCTTCTGCAGGCGCTCCATCTCCTGCTGTTTCGCCCTCTGCCGCCGCTCGGCCTCCTCTGCCTCCTTCTTCTGCGCCTCCTCCTTCTGCAGGCGCTCCATCTCCTGCTGTTTCGCCCGCTGCCGCCGCTCGGCCTCCTCTGCCTCCTTCTTCTGCGCCTCCTCCTTCTGCAGGCGCTCCATCTCCTGCTGTTTCGCCCGCTGCTGCCGCTCGGCCTCCTCTGCCTCCTTCTTCTGCGCCTCCTCCTTCTGCATGCGCTCCATCTCCTGCTGTTTCGCCCGCTAAAGCCGCTCGGCCTCCTCTGCCTCCTTCTGCGCCTCCTCCTTCTGCATGCGCTCCATCTCCTGCTGTTTCGCCCGCTGCTACCGCTCGGCCTCCTCTGCCTCCTTCTTCTGCGCCTCCTCCTTCTGCAGGCGGTCCAATTCCTGCTGTTTCGCCCTCTGACGCCGCTCTACCTCCTCTGCCTCCTTCCTCTGCCTCTCCTCCTTCTGCAGGCGCGCCATCTCCTGCTGTTTCTCCCTCTCCTGCCTCTCGGCCTCCTCTGCATCTTTCCGCTGCGCCTCTTCCTTCTGCAGGCGCGCCATCTCCTGCTGTTTCGCCCTCTCCACCCGCTCTCCTTCCTTTGCCTCCTTCCTTTGCGCCTCCTCATTTTGCCGGTGCTCCTTCTCCTGTTGTTTCTCCCTTTCCTCCCGATCGTCCTTCTCAGCCTCCTTCCTCTGCGCATCCTCCTTCTGTGGCCGATCTCCCTCCGTTGCCTTCCTACCCTGCTCTTCCTTTTGCCGCCGCTCTGCGTCCAATCTCAGAACTACTGACAGCCGCTTTTCCACCTCACTTAGCATCCCCTCCTTCCACCCCTTCATCCCCGTCTTCATCTCCTTCATAGCCTCCATTACCTCCTTCATTCCCGCCTCCACCTCCTTCTGCCATCGCTCTTCCTCCTGATGTTTCTTCTTCCTCCGCCGCTCTGTGGCCTCTACATCCTTCCTCTTCTCCTCCTCCTTCCGCCATTGCTCGTCCAGTTGTTTCTTCTTCTGTCTCTCCTCGTCGTCCGCCACTTGTTTCCTCTTCGCGTCCTGCTGTTGTCGCCGCTCCGCGTCGTCTTGCCTCGCCTTCTTCTGCCGCTCGGATTCTTCTCTCAAAACTGCGCTCAACCTCCCCACAATCTGGTTTACCATCCCATCCTTCATCTCCTTCATTTCTGCCTTCATCTCCTTCATCATCGCCTCCTTCATCTCCTTCATTCCCTCTCTCATCTCCTTCTGCCGACGCTCTTCCTCCTGCTGTCGTTCCTTCTCCCGTCTCTCTGCGGCGTCTGCTTCCTTCCTCGTGGCCTTCTGCCTCCGCTCCTCGTCCTGCAGTCTATCCCTGTTCCGCCGCTCAGAGTCTTCTCTCAGAACCTCTCTCAACCTCTCTTCCACCCCCTTTAACGTGCCCTCCGCCATCCCCCCTCCCGACTGGCGAACCTGATCACTCACCCTTATGATACTCTCTTGCAAGTTGGAGAGTCTCGTGTCCACCTGCTCGCGAAACCTGGCCGCCGTTTCAGCTTGGCGCCGCGGTTCCTCGTTTCCATGGCGGACTTCTTCCAGGTTGGCCAGGGCGTCGCGGCAGTAATGGACGGTCAGATCGGCCACATCGCGACTGATGCTGCTGTTGCGGGTCGCCAAGTTGCAGAACGTCTGCGTCACCATTCGGGCTAAGAGCGTGAGACGACGCGTTACTTCTGCTGGGCTTATGTCCTAGCTTTTGGCCTCGACGAACCTGTCACCTTGTTCGACCAGGACTGTACTCGTCCGATGCAGCATCCGCCGTATTGCCGTCTCTGCCTCGACCCATTCTACCTGCCAAAACGCTTCTGCCACCCCGCCTTGGCCGAGATTCCTCTCCACTGTTCTCTGGTGAAGGGTAGGCCGCCTCTGCCTGTTGAGATCCACTGTATCCCTAGGCGCCCCATCGTCTGCCACCCTCCATGGCCTCTCTACCCCGGTTCCTGGTCCCCGCGTCGGACTTCCTCCCAAAAATATCCGGACTGCCGGATGTACCGTATCCTCCTCATTCTGCTCCTCTTCTGTTTCCAGCGCATCTCCCTCGTAGTGCCCCACTCCAGCCTCCGGGACCACACGAACCTCCTCCATAGTATTTTGACGCTCTGTCTCTGCCATGCTCTGCGTCTCTCGGTATGCGAATACCTGCGATGCTGCCTCCTCGTCGTGCTGCCCCTCTTCCTCTGCGTTGATGTGCCCCTCAGCACCCGCCGTCTCCCGTCCCTCTGTCTGTATCATTTTATTCCCATCTGAACCCTCCTCTCCATCTGGCTTCCTACGTCCGTCAGCCTCAGCCTGCTTCTGCTCCTCGGCCTCTGGCATCTTCTGCGCCTCACCCTCCTCCTTCTGCCGCGCCTCTACAACAGCCTTCTTCCGCGCTTCTGCCCGAGCCAGTTGTAGTGCCTCTTCCGCAGCCTGTTTCTGCTCCTCTGCCTCCGCCTTCTGCCGCGCCGCTGCCTCAGATTCCTTCTGCGCCTCTGCCTCAACCATTTTTGGCGCCGCACCCTCCTCCTTCTGCCGCGCCGCTGCATCAGATTCCTTCTGCGCCTCTGCCTCAACCATCTTCGGCACCGCACCCTCCTTCTGCTGCGCCGCTGCATCAGATTCCTTCTGCGCCTCTGCCTCAACCATCTTCGGCGCCTTACCCTCCTCCTTCTGCTGCGCCGCTGCCTCAGATTCCTTCTGCGCCTCTGCCTCAACCATCTTCGGCGCCGCACCCTCC